TTATTATGGAGTCTGACTGCTTGTGATGGCCAGTTTGTGAACCGCAATACCCATCCAGGCCCCAGACCGCTGTCTGGAGGTGAATGCCTGCTGCCTCTGACCCACCCCACTGGATATTATTTCTATTACTACCACTACTATTATGTATTTATAGCAACCCTTTTTTCCTATTGTGAGGAATTCAAGGCTATTTACATGACTCATTTATCCTTACAACAACAACCCTGTGAGGTAGGGTGGCCTGAGAGTCTTCTACTGGCCTATCACCCAGTTATCATGATGTAAAGAAAATACCCTGATGTTTGGGTCTTCAGCTCCCAGTATTTCTTGCCCTTGGCTGTGCTGACAGGGGCTTCTGGGAACTGAAGTCCCAAAATCTGGAGATTTACCTTGTGCCTGCCCCTAAATGCTATAAAAAGTGAAGCAGAGGAATAAATGTAGAAATTCTTCAGAGTTCTTGTTTGTCAGTTCTCTGCATGTCTGTTAACTTCCTGAATTCCAGTCTGCTTTGCTGACCTTTGTCTAGATCTTGAAGTAGTCTAAGATAGAAAGAAATTGTTGCATGTGTTCCAAAAATATGGTAGAGTATTTGGGAGAGCAGGGGATGGGGCATGCAATTTTCCATCTTTTTTCCCCTGCCCTGCATTCAACATGCAGCCATTGCCACCTTCCCTTTTCACAAATGAAAGGAATGAAAAAGGGTCAGCCCCAGCTTGGATGAGCAGAAGATGTGAGCTGACAGGGCTGGTGGGCTGAGATAGGGCCAGTTCTATTATTGTAGAGCCATTCTGTTTTGGCTTCCCCCACCCCTGCATGCCCCAGACTGAAGATGTTTAACACATGAACAGAGCTGGGGCCAATCCCCAGAATACACAGCCGGGTGGGGCTGGGTTGGTCCCAGCCTAATGGTCTAAGCTGATAATTGAGCTGCACTGTAAACAGGACGCTCCAACCTGCCTCTGCTTCTCCCACATGCCATCTTTGTCTTGCAGCAAGCATTGTTTTGCTGCCCCTGGTGTATTTTTAGGCTACTTTGCTTTGACGGGGACAGAGAAGTACTTGGTCCAGCTGCGGAGCAGCAATCTTGCTCAGCTCTGCATAACTTAACACTGTGCAGTCCTGATTTCCAGATGTCCTTGGTGCAGGCAGTGCCTGGCAGGTGTCAGTTAATGTGGGCCAGGGCTGTCTTGTCAATATCAGCCCCAGGGTTGTGTGCGCGTGAGATTGTGTTGGGCTACTGCATTTGCCACTGAGTAGCTACACCTCTGGGGTTAAAGGGCAAGTGCTTTTGGGCTGCAGAATGAACCTTCCAGGCAGCCTAAAGCCCAGGAATGTCTTCTGAAATTGAGTGCAAGCTGTCTGCCCCTCAAATAGACCCTGTTGCATCGTCAACAACGAATCGAGGGAGGCTGTAAATAGCTGCTACAGTGCAATGAGTCAGGAGCTCTAAATCAAAGCTGCCAGTGATCTCCTTGGCAGCATACCAGGAGGTTCCTGCTTTTAGTTAAGAGTGTATATTAATTTACGTGTAAATGAAAAGCAAACAATCTGCAGCCTTGGGCTTGGGCTGGCATTTTCTCTCCTTTAAACACAGTAGCTGGGAGCGTCGTAGTTGAGTTGGAGCTGTGAGCCAGGAAATCCTTGCTTTGGAACTCTCTTTCCTCAACCACAGACTGGTTAGTGGCTTTGTGCCTACCACTTTTGTCAGCCTCAGCAGCCCCCTTCTTTGGTATGAGGATAATACTGATCCAAGTCACCACGGAAGGAGAGTGAGAAGAGCTAAGATGCTTAATGACTATGAGACATCATGGTTAGCCCCTTGGACCTTTCCAAACCATAATGCATATTTTTGTTTTCCTTTCTCACAGTACCGTTGCATCTTTGTAAGCAGCACAATATCTTAGTCCTATGTAAGATGGGAGGTGAAAAGGGAGTGGCTCTACTTCTGATCTTGCTTTTTAAAAAGGGAAGGGTTGTGTTGTACAGCAGGAGTTCATAGCTTTGAAAAACTCTGCAGGGGTGTGGAGGAACCGGAAGATTCAAAGAATGCTTTTGATTGGGGTGAGTCATCTGTGGTCCTTCAGATGCTTTGTAGCTCCCATCACTTTTCACCCTTGGCTGTGCTGGCCAGGACTGATAGCACTTACAGGTGGAGGGCCACAAATTGTCCTTTTTGTGGTGGTGGCAGAAGCTTTTTGTTCTAAATCTTGGGTCATCCTCCTGCGGTGGGATGGGTCAGGAGCAAGGATTGGGGCTCAGCCACAGATTAACATGCTTCTGGATGAAATTGTGGGGTAAGTCATACTCATCAGTGACGGCAGAACCCTTTAGTGGCTATGTTCTTTACCACACTTGCTAGTAACCAATTGGTGGAATGGGGGTTTTTTCTCATTAATCCTTGCCTGGCCCTGCTCTGAGAGCTGGGGAAAATGAGTCCTGCAACTGAAGTGCCACCAATATCTGCCTTTCTTTGTAGGAAATGATTGGCAGTTGCACATTCACAGCTCCTTAAATCAGCTTTCCTCAGCCTGGTGTCCTCTACATGTCTTGGACTGCAGCTCCCATCATTCCTACCTAGCATGGTCTCTGGAGAATTATGGGAGTTACAGTCCCAACACATCTAGGAGGTGACAAGCTGGAGAAGACTGCACTTGATGATAATAAAACCAAGTGTCCCTTTTCACCTTCTGCTTGACTATTTTCTGTAATCCAGAGCATGGTGGTGTTGAATGGGGAGAGGAATCAGGCAGCTTTGACATGTGTGCTTTGTATACAGATGCTCCAAAGCTATAGCACGGCTAAGAAATCATTCTGTCTGTCTGAGACTTTACAAAACGGTGGCTACAAGAGCAGGTGACAGTATGCCAGCTGTACTGATGGGTCTGACACCTCATAACACAGCTTCCTATGTGACTCAAGTCTCCTGGCAACCAGCACCGTTACCATGATTTTACATGTAACATTTTAAGGCACAGCCTGCTTTGTGACCTTCGTTTTGGTCTTCAGCATTTCTTTGCAAGGGAGGAGATGTTTAAAGGTGAGATTTCCCAGGTTGATTCCTCCCAGTATTGTCTAACTGCAACTCTCATTGTTCTTGACCATTGTCTGTGTTGACTGGGCCTAGTGGGAAATGTAGTCCATCTGGAGAGCAGCAGATAGGAGTAGACTATGGGTTCATGGCAAAGGAAAGATTAGGTCTGGGATCTTTGAACTGAACTTAACCTTCGAGGGTATTGGCTTTTAGGAGTGTGAATGGCACTAGGAATGCAGGCAGGAGTGTGGAATTTGGAGAACAGAAATATTTGCAATATATAACCATTTTTGATCAATGTGGGTTCAGCCTCTGGCATCAGAAATAGTGCATAGAAATTGAGTTGCACTGACACTTATCAAGGAACCTTGAAAATGTTTACTCAGAAAATATCTAAAGTTACCAAGGCCTATGCAATAGAAATGGCAGGAAGGGGTGGAGAATTGCTGGACCCAGCCTATGGGCTTACAATCTAAAAATAAGGGAGGAAAATTCATTCCTGTTAGAAAAAGCAGTTGAGGAATGAATATATTAAGATGCAATTAGATTTCTTTCCCAAGGGCTGAGTGTTACAACATCATGTCTCATGTTTTATCTTCAGCCCTCTGAGAAAGATTTAGCTGAGACACAAATTGCCCAAGGCCACAGTGTCAGACAGTTGACTTAAGGGGTTGCTTCTCACACACAATCTTGGATCTGGGTTGTAGGTGCCACCATTCAAAACATGCTCAAATGGCTTTAGTTAGCCACATATTTGCTGCTATGGGAAGTTGTGGGAGCCACACCCAGCTTCTCCCACTTGCTGCTTTTATATATTTTAAAACTGGGCCGTGGGGGGAACATTACAATCTACACAGGTGGGTATCTTTCACATGTTGGACTAGCAGGGCTAAATAGACATTTACAAACTTGCCTTCCTTCCACAGTTAAACAGTTGCTTTCTCTCTCTCTTCTGAGCCCTTAGCACTTAGAAGGGAGTGAAGGTAGAAAATACATTTCTGTCCATGCTTAGATAGGGGAAAAATCTTATAAGCCCCATCACTTTCTAGTCAGCTATGTATAATGGGAAATGCTGGGAGCTGTAGAACTCTTCTGTCTAAACATGCATAAGATCACACAGTTTGTTTATTCAGAAGTATTTTTCTCTTGTCTTTGTCACGAACCTTAAGACTAGCAGTAAGAAAATTCAAGACACATGAGATTTAAATGGATTACTCCAAATAGCCTGCAAAAGTTATAAAACAACAAATCAGTAGAAAAGTAGTAGGAAAGTTGGCAGCAATAACATTAAAGTGTTTAGTTGCCATCTGAAAAGCAGTGTTTTGACCAAGCACCTACAAGAAAATTGGTGTGGTGGGCAGGCAGGCAGGCAAATAAGTCTTTCTGGAGAAGAGGCTTACGAAGTCTGGGTGCTGCTGTGAAGAACCCTTATTGACCCACATGCATCCAGGTGCTGGAGGAATATCTTGAAAGAAAGGCCTGAGTTGAGTGCATGGGTTTGACTGGGAAGATGTGGTCTTTAAGGGATCCTGGACCCAAACTCCTTAGGACTGTTTGAACATCAGAATGGGCACTCTGACAGGGATCAGACACAAGATACCCATGAAAATGGTACGACATCAGAGTTTTGTAATATGAAAAGTGGGCCCCCTGTTAACTATTGCATTTTGACACAGGTATGACATTTTCAAATCTTCAACACCCCCCCCTCCCCGGTGAGTATTTTGGGATAATCAATTGATAGGCAACCTGGTACCCTCCTAATGTTTTGGATCATCACTTTATCAGTTCCAGTAACATGGCCAGTAGGTGGACGCTGAGGGAGTAGTAATCCAAAATATCTAATCCAGGTTGCCCCTCCCTGAAGTAACTGAAGGCAAATGTGACAACGTGCAGGTCAGCTGGAAGAGTTTGGTGGTCGCTGCTGACTGGCCTGAATCCTTATTTATGTCTCCTTTTTGCTTTCCAGCTAGTGTTCCGTGTGCAGCTGGCTCCATTGAAAAGGCCTGCCGGAACAGGCCTCCCAGAGTGCGGCGCACTTCATCGCTAGACACCATACTTGGGTCATACCTCTTGGGTCAGTGGCCTCGAGATGCTGAAGGAGCTGCTGCTGCAGCACATATGAGTGACAAATCAACCCAGGTACTGGGCTCTCTTTAAAAGGTCACTATTGCCCTGATGGGAAGCCTAGGAGAAACTTGTGAATGCAATGCAACTTTCCACATGTGTTCTAACTAAGGGTGAGAGGCATATTGGAGGTCAGATGTAGCCCTCATGACTGGCAGACCTTGATAGATTTATCCTCCGTGAATTTGTTGTCCAGATGGATGGCCATCATACACCTTGTGAGAGCAATTTCCATACTTTAAGTGAAAGTAATCTTTGTGCAGAAGATTTTTTTTTCTGAATGCCCCATAAGGTTCTAATATTATGAGAGAAAAAAACTTCACCCTGCCCGTTTTTTCCTGTATAATGAATAAGTCTATATACCTTTGTTGTGTTCTACTTTGGTTACCTTTTCTAAGTCAAAAAGCACCAACTATGGTAACCTTTCTTTGTGGAGGAGTTGTTCTAACCCCTTGACCATCTCACCATTGTCCTCTGACTTAGTACAGCTGTCCCAGCAGTTTCCAGATCCTTTGCCATTCCATCTCCCCCATCACTGCCCTTTGCCAGCCACAGCCAATGTAAACTCCTGGTCATAACTGGCTTCTGCTGTTGGCAAGAGGCCCTGGGCAATCTGTACTGCAGTTACACTGTGCAACTGTACTCAGGAGCTTCTGTAATTTATATGTCCTGAGGACCTTCACTTTCATCTTCCTTAATAAAAAAACCCACGAATTATAACCTGTATAGTTGAAGTCATCAGGGTAGATTTGATTTAAATAAAATCTATTTAAGTAACGATTAAAATCACTAGTCAGACTGCATTTAAATCATGGTTTTCTACATAATTTGCACACATGCCTGCCTTACCCTTAGGTAGAGGAACTTCATTAAAAATATTCCCAAATTGGGTCTCTTACAGTCTGCTGCCAATATGGGTTTTCTCCTCAAGGGAAAGAATAATATGATAAAACTCAAGCTATACACAAAAAGATCTAAAAACTTATGGAGTATTCTGCTCCAAAGGGTTCACTTTCATTTTTACTCTTTGCCCCTCCCTCTTCACACTTAGCTTCATGTGCAGATCCACTCCCAACAATCTTCTGAATTTTTAAAAACTTGGCACTTAAGGGCAATGGGTTGATTCTGTGTACATAGATTTGCAAAGGAACAGTGGGATTAAGATCTTTTTCTTCACTCTGTTTATTTTATAACATCTTTGCTGTGAAGAAGCATGTGATCTCTGCAAACACACATTTAGAGTTGTGAAAACAGTCAAACCAAGCATCTGTGACAGTATCTTCTAGATAGGAAAAAATGCTCAATAATCTTTCAGAAACCTCTGGAAGAGCAGGACATTGTGAATGGATTAATGGAATGCATTTACCAAGATTTAAAGATTGCATGAATACACAGCTCATAATACATAATTATATGCTACATAATTAAAAACTAATCCTTATTTCATGATGAATAACCTTTTTACTATAATGCATCTCAAATAGAAAATGCTCTTTAGATAGATTTTTCCTCAAAAAGCATTTTATTTTAAAAATCCAATTTAAATTTAAAAATCCTTTTAATTGTTTGAAATCATTGATTTTTATCCACCCTGGAAGTCAAACAGGGAGTGGGTGAAGAAGGGAGAGGAGGACTTGCTAAGGTGGTGCCAGTCCACCTTCCCACCATCCCCCCTGCCCTAGTGTGCAGTAACCATGTTATCCTGTTAGTCCCCACTGCATAGAGGAGTGATGTGGGACACATCCTATCTCTGGATAAGCAGGCCTTGATAAAGTTTACTGGTGTCTCATGTCCTTACTGAAGGAAAATGCCCTTTGGGAAAGGAGCTGAGCTGATGGGAGTTAGTCTTTGCCAGGACTCTATGCCATAAGCAAATTCCACTCAAGGCAGCTGCAAACCTACCTACGGGCCTTTCAAACTGAGATACAAAAGTCACAACTTGGTGGAAGCCCTGGTAGAGGTCATTTACTCCTTGAGATGCTGGGCTCATCTGGCCAACCTTATCAACAAGCAAGGAAGCATGAGATCCAGAGCCCTGTGGAGGGAGACCCTGAGGCTTTTTGGGTGGACGCATGGCATGCATGTGTCTGCTCTGTCAGGCTGAACACCTAAAAAACAACCAGGCTAACTGGCATAGCAGGCCTTCTTGGACTAGACACTGTACCCAGGGTGCAGATGGCCTGGTGGGGCCTGCCCTGGCTCAGTATCTTCATATCATCTCAGAATGCCACACTCTTAGAATGGTCACCCACTACCAAAGAAAACATGCTGAGTCCACAGACACGACGATTGCTTCCCAACGAAAGCAATCACTCCAGTTCATGCTACAGAAGTCTTTATTCTACACAGCATTACAGTTACAGTCACATAAGCTAGGAAGTTGTCCTCTCGTTCTAATTAAGTTCAATTTACACTGTGTTTTTGAATCCTTCTGGGCCGTCCTTCCAGAGGCAGGGCGCTGTGACCCCTCTCCCTGGGTCGCTCAGTCAATCTTGAGTCTAATTGTCCCGATCTGCACATGCATCTGTGGGAACAAGCATCCTCAACAGCTTCATCTATGTTATTTCCTAAATTCCAATATCCCATATCGGCACCTGGTGCAGTTGTTTCCCCATCAACACCCAAATTGGTCTCTGTATGCTCTTCTGTTTTGACATCTCCCTGAATTTCCTTATCTCCTGTACTTCCTTTCCCATTGTCTGTGCACCTGGGGAGTAAAGCTTGTTCTGGTGGCACCAGGAATAGATCTTCATCAACCCTCTGGTCTCATGAGAAGTTTTCGCCTCTTGTGTGCATGTGCCAAGGACTCTTCTAAGTCCGCACACACGACACACCCTAACTAGCCATTTGCCCTAAAGCTTTCTCTGTGTCTTCTCAGTACTGTCCCTTATCCTGAGAGAAATCCAGTGAGTAAGCAATTAACAGGACAAGGTGACCCTGATAAAGACGAGAAGAACGTGGGATGCTGATCTAGTGAATTTACCAATGACCAGACCAGTAGTCCTCTTAGTATCACTGGGTTTCTCAACTGGTCATAAGCCTCAGAGAAGGATCAGCTATCTACAAACATTGCAGATATCTGGAATTCCTCCAGGAGGATTTATCTGCAAGCCTCTAGACCTAAAGAGCAAGGTTTTAGTTCCCTAAGATGGATCTCAAGACCCAGATGGGGGCTCCAAAGGTACTCAGCCGCTAATCAAGATGTTTCCCACCTGGTGCTCAAAGGTGTTAACCAAGAGTCTCATTGAATATCTGGGGGCAACTGTCCTTTGGACCCTGACCCCGAAGATCATCTCTTTAGTGACCATCACTTCCATATGGAGGGTGTCCAACTTAGGGGCTTTACCCTCGGAAAAGAACTTTGTGCCTTACAAGAACATTGGTCTTCATCTTTCCAAAGGTTAACACAGCCCTTCACAGGGCACAGGAACTAACAATCCCCCTCTTATCCATGCCTCAAGAAAGGGTATGGCCCACCTTGGATGCTAAGCAGGCAGTCAAGTTCTGCCTAAACAGAACCAGGCTCTATAGACAGCTGTGTGCCCTTCTTCACCCTGTGACTCCACAGGTGACTTGCACTGGCTTATACCATCGGCAGTTTAGCAGTGCCAGAAGGTATATGCCCACTCAGTAAAAGGAAAGACCACTTCTTGGGAAGAAGAGATGTGTAGGGCTTCACCAGACACTACAGAATCAACCTCTTTGTCTCTGGGCAAGATGTCTTTGGCAGGCACGTTCTCCAAAGGCTAATAGCTGGAGGCTGGCTTGAGGGATCTACTGGACCAGCCAGGGATGCACAGCTTTTTAAAATCCCAAGCTAGCTGGCTTCCTGAACACAAGGGGAGAGACAGAAATTCTTTTACTCACCAGTGAATTTCTGTTCTCAAGTGAAAATGGCCTGCGAGGCCTACCCTTCCAAACTGATTTGAATTTTCAAGTAGTAATCAACCTAGGCAGGACTCATCATTCAGATTTGCAGCCTGAGCATTAGGTGAAAAGTTGACAAGTCATTGAAAAGAAGGGTGATGTGGTGGCTTCCAGTGTGTGAAGGATCAACTAGATATCCTGTGTGAGGCATTGCCTGCTCCAGGAACTTCAAAATGGAGACTGCTTCCTAGCCTTGGAGTCTTTAGAGGCCATCTCCAAACTAGCTGACATCTTTCACTTGAAGAAAACAAATTCACTGGTGAATAAAGCATTTCTATGTTCCAGTCCAGCCTGGTGATACCCGTGGAGCTCTGAGTCTTACTTGTCTCATATTCCACACACCCGCACCCTTGGTGTTTAGCCACTGGGGTAATAGTATCCCTGTGCATCTCAGCAACAAAGCTCATCCAACTGCACACAGAAAAGTTCAGAAGAAATCCTGTAACTTTGGAGGGTCCTCTTAAAGTCAGAAAAATAAGAGCTGAATTTGAGGAGTCTTGCTTAAAGCGGAATCTTGTGTGTAAACGTTAAGCTGGTTAAACTCCAGTGAAAACCTGTGGACTGTTAGAAGTATTCTGGACTGTATTCTAGTCTTGAGTACTAGTCCCTGTGGAGCTTTCTAGGGAATGTCTTCCCTGTTGTGCTTAAAGTTGGTTTTGAGGCAATTCTTGATTTTTCCCTTGGCTTTGTTGCAGAGGCAGCTGGCCTTTGGCGCTTTCCTTCTGGAATGGGCTCAGCACTGGAGGCTTTTCCAGCTCTGCTTGCTGCTCTGGGCCAAAACCCTTATATAATGTTCATGGGCTGTTTGCCATGCACTGCTTTAAAAACGAGGGCTCTTGCGATGGAAGAGCTTGCTCAGCACAAGGCGGGTGTGTTCCCGGATGGAGTGGGAAGGCTGCAGCCATCAAGGAACCCTTAGCAACCTGTAAATATTTCTAGAGAGCAATGCATAGTCCTTCTGAGACCAAAGGACAGCACCGACCATTCAGTGAGAGAGTTTTAGTTGAGCTGCAGTGATCAGCTGTGTCCCGTCCCCCCCTGCCCAGGTGTCTTAGATGTGTTGGACTGCAGCACCCAGCATTCCCAGCTGACATGGCCACTGGTGGTCCTTGCACTGTTTTTTCTCTAAGATGCAGACTGTAGCCAGTCTGATGACCTGCTGAGACAACAGAAACACATTGGGAGCCTATCCCATCTTTTAAAACCCCCACCACAAGTTTTAGGGTAAACTTGACTCGAGGGACATTGCCTTGTTCACGATGTGTCCATGGCTGAGCTGAAGACTCAGAGCCAGATCTCCCGAGCCCTGCATATTGCTTCCTGCCTCACTCAGGCTCTTGGCACTACGTAGTCCACTTAGAGGTTTCTCCCATAAGTGAGTGTAGATGCTCAGATCCATGGGCTGCCATGAGTGGGGTCCTGAAACCCCAAAGGACTCCACCATTCCAAAAACCCTCCCCCTGAGTGTGGTAGCTGCATGAAGATCAGCAGGCCATCCGTGATGTCCTATGCTGTGTAGGTGTTGCGCCGTTCTTTCTGCTCTGAACACACAGAATGGGTTTCTTTCACAGCCTTGGGGGATGATGAGTCCCTTCCCCTGCAGTTTATCTGACCTTGTGGTTTGAAACTTGGATTGCTTCTTGAAGCCCTTCCCTCCCCTCCCTCCCTGCTTGGAGGAAGCTGTTTAGGCACTGCTGGAATCCTACCTTTGGAAACGTCCTACCACACTATGGCAAACTAGGCCTAGATGAAGGGCATGGTGCTCCTGCAATGCCATGAATGGTTTCTGCTTGCAGGGATGACTCCCCACCCATGCATACAACCGCCCCCCCCCAAAAAAATCTGGTATCAGCTTTGCTTGGACTGGAGGCAGCCTGTGACTTTCCTCTTGCTCAGAGCATGAAAACAGCCTAAGCCAAGCAGTCAATTTGTTATTGTATTCTGATGTGCACTTGGCATGACTACTCTTCCCAAGATGTTTCTTCCTTGAGCCTGACGTTCAGGTCATAAGAACTGTCCTCCGCCCCATCTGTGGGAGGGCATAGCAGGGGGTGGCATGGCAGTTAGTGTTGCAAATGAAACTCAGGAGAACTGGGTTCTAGTCCCACTTGGCCACGCAGTTCAGTTTGGGCTAGTCACTGACTCTCAGCCTAACTCATCTCACAGGGTTGCTGTAAGGATAAAACAGTGTAACTCCTGGAGTTTCTTGAAAGGAGGAAAGGGTAGGATATAAAGGTAGGCAAGTCGGTCAGTCAGCATCAGCTTGAGACTGTGTGTAGCATGTAGAGGTGGTACACGTAAGATGCAAGTTATGGCATCAGGCTGCTGGCTCCCATCCCTGCTTGCCCAAACATTAGCATCTTCCATGGAGGCTCTTCTTGTGGTGCTCCAGCGTTTGGGATAAGGCGAGTGGCACCCTGAGGAAGGGAACATTTGTTAACCATGGGGCCCAGCCGTGGAATACCCTGCCCTGAAATGAGCCCCATAATTTCCTTCAGACACTGAGTTAAGGCTCCTTATATTCTCATTCATTTTGATGAGTTTATCATTACTAAGCAAGCATAGCTTTGGTGAGATTTCCTCTCCATTTTTTAAATGATTTTTGATCTTTTATTGCAGTTAATCCATTCACTTACCCTCATAGAATTCTTGATTGCTATTGGCTACCATGTTTGTTGTTTGGGCAGAATGACAGATTGTACTCCTTCACTTGCCCAAACATATTACATTGTAAACTACCTCAAATGATGAATTTTTTGAAGGGTGCTATAAATGTACCTTAAGTAAATAGTAAGTTTTCCCATGCCACATAGTTGAAATAAAAATATATACACAGAATTGAATCCTGAGCTGGTATTCTGCCAGAGAAAGAGAAAAGCTCCATTTGCAGAAGGTCCCTACGCTTAACTTTTTGGGACTCTTAACCTCAGTTCACCCCATTCGGTAAGGTTGTCTGTCTGTGTAGCATTTCCAGGGAAGCTGGATAGCTGCCACAGGAAGGAGAGGGTGGGGAAGTCTAGTATAAATCTGGATCTAACCTGTTTATGTCCCGGACCAGTCAGTTTCATTTAAGCAATTCACATCTGAAGACTGAGACGACTGATGGACAGATTAAGTTGCTTCCTGTAGCCTTGAGTGGTGTTTGTAGTCACTGTCTAAACACTGACCTTCCTCTCAAACTGAAGAGTCTAGAAATGGAGAAGAATGCATGTTTGGCTGCCCTGTAGCATTATGATTTTTTGTGCTGATGCAAAAGGAAGCAGAGAAATAAACTGCAAACATAACTGGGCTTTTGATTTCTGAAGAATTTGTGTTTCCTGTTAGAGGTCAGCAACTTGAGCAGCTGAAGCTGTGAGCCTACCACACACTGGTGCAATGCAGTGTGTGTTGTACTTTTAGTTGCAGAAAGGGATTTCTGCTGCAAGTTCTCAGACTTGACTGCTGCGTGGTGTGAGTCTCCCACAAGATGTGAACGTGGAAGGGGCCTTTGACATTGGCCAGGATTCCCAGGGCTCCCCTGGTGTTGCTCAGCTCTGCCACTTGCAAAGCCTTTCTAGTTGTTTGTTGACTTTTGTACACTGTACAGTTTTTCACATTACTTTCAAGGCTGTGACATCCTTTGCTGCTCCCAAGCTATTCAGCTAAGCTGTTTTTGAACACCACTGCCAGATTTCCGTTTTGCAACAGCCTCTCTGCAGGGGCCGATTTTGTTGCTGGCAAAGGCCTCTCGCTCTGCTTGGCAGCAAGTCTAACAGAAGTCTGGGGTAGACATGGAACTGTCCTGAAACTGTTCCCTCTTCCAGAAATGGAAAAGAAATGTCAGGATGGGATTCTAAGATGTTGAGAGAACTCTTGATCTGTAAGAGCTTTGTCTGCACAGGCACTGGCCAGTTGGTGCTGATCATGATGATTACTCTGCACTGTGTTTTAGCAGCCAGACAAGGATCTGCCACTTTCTTGTAGCTTAGGGTAAATTTGGGAGGATCCAGCAATAGTTCTGGAATGTCACTTGCCCGGTAATACTCACTTTCACTCAGGTAATACTTATTTTCCAGTGACACCACTGCCACTTCTGCCTCTCTGCAGTCCTGCACTGGGGCCGGCATGTGCACACTCCAGTGCTTGCTTGCATGGCAAGCCACATGAGCTGCAGTGTAGGAAAACATCACCCTGTTTAGTTTGCTAAGTGCTCCTCTTACGTTACACAACAGTCCTGTGAGGCACGTAGAAATTTTCCAGATGCATTGGTGATCGTGAATGAAAATTGCTGGAAGTCATCCAGTTAGTATGTGGTCGGCCTTATTCTTCAAGCAGCATTCTTTCCATATGTTCCTGCAATGCTTCATGAATGGCTGCCTGTGGATGGAACCTGGTTATGGCCTTCTTCTCCCCTTCATCCACTGGTCCCATTGCTGCTGTTTGGAAAGGTAAACGAATGCCAACGTAGAAATGGGTCAGATGCAGTGGAAAAGCTTTTATTTGGGAATGGGGTGGGTTGTCGTGATTGGCCTGATTTTAATCTCTGAACACTTATGCAGGGCTATGTATTCATTTAATTAATGTGGGGATTAGCAACTTGCTATCCTCAAGGTGTATTGAACTGCATCTCCCAAAAGATCCAGTTAGTTTAGCCAGTGGACTAGGATTATGGCAACTGAAGTCAAGAACATCTGAGCAGTAACTGGCTCCCTGCCTCTGGTTTAACACATTTATATGTCACTTTCTATCAAGGAAGGCAGTGTACATTTCTAAACTACTAAAAGGAAAAAGTTACAAAAATTAAAACAGTTCTGTCAGGCCAGTTGAAGGTCTCTTCAAAAGCTGATTTATTTCTTTTCTTTTTTTGTGGTTTGTTACCTTTAAATCTGCTTCTGTTTCCAAGGAACTCAAGGTGGTGTACATTATCCTCCTCCTTACTACTTTATCCTCACAACAGTCCTGCAAAATAGCTTTAGCGGAGAGTCAGTGACTGTCCCAGAGTCACCCAGTGAGCTTCATGGCCGAGAAGGGGCTTGAACCTGTGCCTCCAGTCCAGTGCTGTAACTGCAATGCTCCACCGGCTCCAGCTAATTTCCTCCTTGGAAATACTTACGGAATTATTCTTACGGAGGGATTCACGTGGAAACACAAATGAACTATACCTTTCGCTCCTCCTTTTCCCAGGAAAGCTCTAAAAACAAGAAAATAGTTCCATGTTAAGAGAGCTTTTCTGAAAAAATCCAGTTGGACATTTCATTTAGAGGCACAACGTGCGACATCTACCCTAGCGTTGTTTCTGTGTCGGAAAGTGTGGGCCGTGGCTCCAAGTTGCCATGTTTGGAAAATGCGTGTCTGCTTGGCGACGTGTAGGAACAGTGGAAAATAGTGATTGGCATGTGCACTGAGCAAGACAGTGTGCATGTACTATTTTACTTTCCTGTATGGAAACAAGAGGTTTTTGTTTTTTTAAATAAAGCACTGTAAAGTAGGCCTTGGACATGATACTTCCTGAGGGTGTTTTCAGGATGACTCTTCATGGAGAAAACTGCCACGTTGTAACTAACCTCTTAAAGTTTTGAGTTTTCAGCTGACTACATTCTGATGGATTCCTTTTTCCTTCCTTTTTCCTTCCTTGTAGACTCCTGTATCCTGGCATGAAACTGAGGCAGGGAAAGCTGCAATCCATAAGCGTTCTGCCTCGTGGAGTAGCATGGATCATCGCAGAGAGGTGAGTGACTCAAATGAAATCTGCCGTCTCACTGCACAATGTGCAAAAGAAATTAAACCTCTGGAGCATATGTTGACACAGTGCCTGCATTATGCCTCCAGGAAACTCCTGCTTCAATGTGCACAGTAGATAAAGCAAACCAGCAAGTAATTTTAAGAACCTGCCACACCCTTTGTACCCTGTTCATGTATAACAGTTGGCATGGTGGTGGAGTACTGCCAAAAATTTCAGCTGAAGAGAAAAGATGGGGCAGAGCTTCCCCAAAAGTCAAAATCCCTCAGAACAGACAGAAGCTGAAAGTAAGATTTCATCCATGAAACCAATCTTGCCATTCATTTCTTGTCTATATAGCCATGATATCCAAGTTATCAGGGGGGTTTCACAATATGATCAGAAAAAATATAAGATCATTCACATACAGAAATTTAAAATGGTCCAAAAACAAGTTAAAATCAATTAACAAGAAGACTAGTGGGATCTGGTGAAAAAAAACGAAAGTGCTCCATCATATGTTGCCAGAAGCCTGGGATAGGAGTCTTTGGGAATCAAAACAGCTATGATAACACTGCTTCCTACCCCCTCTGATGGAAAAGTCTAAAGTTTCACTCAAGGGGAACAGTGTCCAGCCTTCTGCAGCAAAACAGTGCAGAGTGCAGGGTGATGGTTTGCATCGCTGACAAAGGTGATACCATAAAACACAGTGGTGCATCAGAACTAGTTTCACTCTGAAGTTTTCCCTCCCTCCCTTCTTCAGCCAGTTGCATGGGCACAGTCTGCACCCACTGTATCAGGTGGAGGTAGGCGAAGTGATAGATTGCAAGAGGCCTCTGATAACAGTAAAAATAAGAACTGGAGTTTGAAAAAGTAGCAGCATATTGTGATATTTGCATTTGGTAATGCTGTGCTGATAGGTGAGGAGAGGAGAGGAGAGGGCTAATGCCCCCTGACAAAAGGTAACTGAAGCCCTCACAAGATGACTAAAAATCGGAAGGATTCTTTATTCTGACCAAATGCAGTATAACGCTGGGGCAAGCTCTGAGAATCTCTGCAGGGCCCCAGATCTTTGCGGTGACCCAGATGGGTCTTTCAGAAGCAAATGGTGCAAGACAAGCAGCAACTCCAGATACCTATGAAAAGTTGCTGGGCCATCCACAGAAAGATTACATAGACTTGCTGCTTTCTGGAAGACTTCCACTGCTGTGTCTTAAAATCCAGATTGCAACGGGTACGTTCACATGTCATGCTAGTCCACCCTTGCAATGAGCCATAGAGGGTTGCTTGGTGGGTAAAAAACCCCAATAGGAACCTGACAGAAGCTATGAGCAATCCTTTCAAAGTGCCCCAGTGGTATGTTGAAGGGGCTGCCCTTGTTTAATCCTTTTGTGCACAAAAACAAGAAACCAAGTTCTGGACTTGTACAGCGGTGGAAATTTGAAGCCTCAGCTGCAGCAATGACTTGCAAATACATTTTCTCTTCTTTGCTTTTCCTTGACAGCTGTAAAAAGGCAAGTACGCCAGAAAACAAAACAAAAACAAAACACGCAGAGGTGCGTGTGTGGAGGGGGAGTGTCTTTGACTGCAATATTTTGGGTATACAGTCCCTTTGCAAAAAGATCCTCATCCTCACCTCTGCCTCACACTTACATTCTCATCAGGGTGCCCATTTGGCTCTAGATGCTCAAGAAAGTCTAAAAATGGACTCCCTCCCTTTTTTCAAAGAAGAAGGAATTTTGGGGTGTTAGCTGTGAAAAAAGGGGGGTTTCAGTAGGAAATGGTAGTTCTGGAGTAGGACATGTGTCTCTCTATGTCCCACTCTAAAAAAATCTAGTCCATTTGCTGTATTTTTCTAGAGGAAAAGTTGTGTGCCCACAATGCTCTGGTAGTAGGGCAACAAACCAGTAAGCAGAAAATGACTAGATGAAACTTATCGTGTGTGTACGGGAGAAATGGTTCAGTATAGCTGGTTCAGTAGCTAGGGAGTGTTTCTCTTTCTTCAAAATGCAAGTTATCATCTCATTCCCTAGATTGCAAAATTGAAACAGCAGCTCCAGCGAACAAAGCTCGGGGCCTGGGGCAGCAAAGAGAAAGAGCATAACTCCCCAATTCAAGGGGATCATAGTGTGCTCCCATCAGCAAAGGTATGTTCTGCATCTCTCTCTTCTTTTAATTGCTTTAAAAAAATTACTTTCTTTGTTCCTATCCAAGAGCTGACTGCAGCCAAATAGGAGACATGGTCCAGCTTTCACTAGATCTGTTGACAAGAGGCTAGTGTGAAGCTTTCCTTGGGAAAAGGTGTTTTTGAAATAATCAGTTGTGCTGTTATGTTTGTGGATCACACAGAGCCATTCTTTCCTGCTCCATGAGAATGCAAGGAACAGGGTGGATGTTTCCAAACCATTGGCCATGCCTGCTTTTCACACACAGAGGTCAAGGGTGTAACTTGTTTGAAGCCTCCACCTTCCCCACCTAGGGGAGTATGGCTGAGCTGTAGGCTGAACTGGGCGCACCAGGTTCATGGCTACTGTCTCGCCCTGGCCTTTTGCTACTCCATGGACAACTGCAGGAGAGAGTCCATAGCTCAGTGTTCGAGTATGTGATTCACAATGCTGATAGCCCCAGGTGCCCTCCTCATGCCATCTTTCCATTGGACTTAATGGAGTAGTAGAGTGAGGGCTTACAGGGACACAGCACTGGCACATCTTTTATTAGCAGGGATGGTGATGCCATCTGCCACAAGCCCATCCCTCTCAGATTTTTTTGTTCTGTCTGAGCTTGGTGGCAATCCTCACAGTAGCTAGGGCAGGTTACTTTTGCAAGCAATAATATATGCTTTTGTGTGGGAATGCCAAGTACACTGAGGTGGCTTGGTCTTGAATGGACAGTGAAAATTCATTAGTAGTAAGAAAAAACCCCCACCTCCTCCTGGAGAAGACAACTGATTTACTGATACAGCCCAAAATGGTTTCCTGCATGTTTGCACTCTCCTTGGGGTTGTGGCTGTGGGGACTGTATGATGAGTCCCTGCATGCCAGCATTTAAAAATATACCACTGGCTGGAGGGTCTTCAGTAGCAGGCCTAAGAGAAAACTCTGCCTGATACCTTTGGAGAGCCATTGGTTGACACTGTGGAGCTGGCTCTAAAGGCAGAATCCTACACATGTTTAGCTTAAAAAACGGGTCCTGCAACTCCCGGTATACCTCAGCCAGTCTGGCTGGAACATGCTGGGAGTCATAAGACTTTATTTCTGTCTAAGCATGCACAGGATTGCATTCTGAGTTGACTTTATATGTTCCAAACAGTTCAGGTGATGGAGCGGGCTACTATGTGCGTGCCTGCCTTCACCTGGCAGCACAATGTCCATTTGCACAACAGTGTTGGTAACTTCTCTCCCACAGCTTTGCATATCCTTGTTTTGCAGGCTTCCCCACCTGTACCTTTTCCAGGCTCGGCCACTGTGTCAATCAGCCCCTGTTTGCACAACAGCCTGGACGGTATCAATCGGGAGTTGGAAGAGGTGTTTGTAAAAGAGCAAGGAGATGAGGAGCTCCTCAGAGTGAGTAGTGGCTGGCTGGGCAGGGCACAGGACAGCCTCCTTGTCTGACACTCTCTGCATAAGCCAAGGTGTCAGTTGTACCCGAGAGTTAAGCCACCTTTGCAGGGCAAATTTCAATACAGACCTCGTCACCTCCCTACCCAGAACACATGCACAGGCCCTCAGAGTGAATTGTACTCTGTGAAACTCTCCCGCTTGAAATCTCACAGGAAAGTGAAATTCTAAGCAACCTCTTGTCTTGTGCCTGTAGTATACCTTACGCAATTCAGAATATGTTTCCATGATGTTCTCTTTTGTTCTGCTAAACTGTGGAGCTGCACTACCCACTTCCCCTGTGTCTGGCCTTGAGGCAGAGCAAGAACACGTTTCCTTCTGAGGGACAAGCTACGGTACTTTGTCTGTAGGAAAAAGAGGTGGGGATAGGAAGCATTTAACCCAGAGGTTGGTAGTGTGGTGCCTATTGGGCACTGGAACCCTCTAAAATCCCTAAGTTGCTCCCACAAGATAGTGTTCAACCTAAAAGCTTTCCTTCCTCTCCCCAACACAAGGCCGCAGGAGCCATGCTGGACCAGATGAAGGGTCCTTCTGGTCCAGCATTCTGTTCATACCATCTGCCCACCGGAATCCCACAAGCAGAACATGAGTGCAACAGCATCCTTTCCCGTGGGTCCCAACATGACCTCCCCCAGCCCCCTGCTGCCTTTCTTTCCTGCCTTTCCACAGCCTTTTCTTCTCCCCCATGCACTGCTTTTTGGTTGCAGCCTTTCCCCCTTTCTTCTTCCTTCCTTCAGTCCCCCTTCCCACAGCAGGAAGCCAGCAGATCAGGAGATAAGGTAAGTGTGATAAAAAGGTGATGCCAGGGGGGAAGAGGCAGAAGGGAATCACAAGCTGGGAGAAGAGGAAATTGCAAGTGGAGGAAGAGGAGGAGCAAAATGTGCCCACCCTGATAGCAATTGTAGCTAGTACTCACAGCCAAAATATAGATTGTGCCCGTGGATCAAAGAAGCTTGTCTACCCCCTCATTTAACACTTATCCTACCCACCCATTGTCAAAGTAAGTTGTACATCTGTGCAGGATGAGACACACCTGAATTCATTGTGCTGGCAGGATGAAAAGCAGCAGTTGCTTGAGCAGAGAGACTGGTAGAGAGGCTGTTAAGGCCTTCTTTCTCTGCCTTGAAGTACCATCTTGAGCAAGTCTTTAGCAAAGCTGTCATGGGAGGTATAGCACAATGCATAGCTTATATCTGACCCCTTTGGGTGCTGAGTACTGTACTGGGTAGCAGTTATGGATCTCTGCCTGCCTTGGTGGGGATCCACATTGGGTGGCTCTGCTGTTAAGTCGTGTTCCCACTTGTTGATCCTGCGCCAAAGTACGTGGCAGCATCCTGGTTCAGTCGTCTCATTTGGCAAGAAGTAGTCCTCTGTTCTGAGTCCCAGAGCGACCATTGTCATCCCCTTCTGACCTAAATGGAAGTTATCAAGTAGTTTGAGAAATAATGTACGTGTACTCTGTGTCTTCCTACCACCGCCATGACTGCCAAGGTACCATCCTATTCCATTGGACTGCTGGAGAGAGAGGCAGGAAGTGGGAATGCTGAGAGACCAGCTCCACTTGGTTCCTTCTCTCCCTGGAATGTCTCCATTCTGGCTGGAGATTTGTTGTTGCTCTGTGCCATCAAGTTGCCTCTGACCTGTGGTGACCCTGTGAATGAACACCCTCCATAATATCCTGTCCTTGACAGCTTTGCTCAGTTCTGGCTGGTTATCTACTATGAAATGGCCCTTTAAAAACAGGTGTCCAAGTTGACTGTTTTTCTCCTCTTCCATCTTTCCTTGTGTTTTTGTCTCCGTTTTTCCTCCTTCAGATCATAACCCTGTTTTAGATAGCAGCCTATTGTTTTACAAGTTACTCTGGAAACCCTTTAGGCTGATGGGTGCAGTACGAACACTTTCCAAAAATGTTTAAATGTTCATTATTGCCCACATCTCTGCCTTGCTCTGAGCATTCCTCAAAGTTGCCTCTTTGTGCTTCAAAGGAATGTTTCTTCTCTCCAGATTCTGGACATCCCGGATGGCCACCGAGCCCCAGCACCACTCCAGAAAGGTCCTCAGGATGCCTTGCTGCTCCAGCTGGAGCACAGTAGCAGCAGCAGCTGTAGCAGCCTCTCTCTTTCTCCATCCCCTTCAGCTGCACTTGGGCCATCCCCGTATACTTCTGCTCGAGCCACAACAGAAGAATTTTGCCCTAGCATGGTAGAAAAGCCAGGGCTGGAGGTGAAGGGAAAAGGTAAGCCCACTGGCTCAGCAGCAGCCTGCTCTACCCGGGCACAGGGCCCTGGGAGAGATTTTTAAGGCTTTGCCTTTGATCTTTGACAGCACAAGAATACAGTCTTAGAAGCTGGTGGGCCTAATAGGATGTGCTTGACAGGAACTCTGTTGCCCTTAAGAAGGAAGCAAAGCTGATGTGTGGGAGAGTTGTCAGAGCATGGCTGAATGCATGAATGTCCTAATTCATTTAATGACTTTTCAATTAGCAATGTAATGTGATAAAGCAAGGATAATTTTCCTACATACTTACTGTTCATCTTGAGAGGCAGAATCCTCCAGTTTTGTCATACACTCTAAATCAAGTTTCTAGAACTTAAATCTCTTGAAAAGAAATGGGAAAATCTAAGCCTCCGACTGCATCTGCAGTGTGAAGGTCTCAACCTCTTTATTAACTATTATTGATAATTTCCTTAAATATCTCTCCCACCTTTCTTTCTTCCAAGCAGAAGGCAACATGCATGGATGCCTCCCATTTTATCTTCACAACAATCTTGTAACATAGGTTAGGCTGACAGATGGGAATTGGCCAAGGATCACTCATCAAGCAGGACTAGAATCCAGATTACTTTTGACATTCAGACCACATGCTACACCAGCTAACAAGTGTGTTATGTTTTTGGCAGCCAAAGTAAGGAAAAGCTGCCATGTTCTGAGTTACATTGTGAAGCCCAGTACAGGGATGAAGAGGACTTGCAAATATTGACATGGTTGCAGGTACCAGGACAAAAAAAAGAAAGATCAGGAACAAATGGAGAAGTGATAAAAGTGAGAAGCAGGTAGTGCAGATCAGAGCAAAGTCCAGAGGCTAGGTTGCTATTTGGTAGCAGGCTGTACTTGCAAAAAGTAGGCAACCTGTATCTAAATAGGAGCCAGCCAGCTAGCCTTGAATATGAAAGTGATGACATGGAAGAACGGTTTATGCATGTTGCTTTCTTCCATGGGGAATGTCTTGTGTATTGGGAATCCTTAAGAATGCATTCATAGACACAGCTTTTCAATTTTTAATGCAATGATAATTATTTTTCCCCACAAACTAATTTTACTGACTCCCAATCATTCTGTAATGCCAATAAAAGTGGAGAGGTTTCCTGTCACTTGAGGGCATTCCTGATGCCTGCAGCTCTACTGAAAGTATATGGAGTGAACTTTAAGACAAAATCTCTGGCCTGTACTGAGGTCATTGAAGCACCTAACTAATCAAGCAATCAATTGTACTGAATCCATAGGATTCAGTTCACTGTTTCTTGGCTGACACGCTTCCACAAAAGATCTGTTAAAAAATAAATTTACTTCCTGAGTTCACTCCCATCTGACTGTTACAAACCTTGCTGGTGTTGGGTACATTTATATATCACCTCTGTGTGAGGTTTCTTGTCACTTCTGTGTTTGTCTGATTCAATGTGTTATGCTGAATTTACACTGTCCTGTTGTGTTTTCCATCTGTCAGAAAACGGCAATACTTCTCCAGTCCTTGCCTTCGCCCTTTCTTCTCCTCGTCCCAACCACACCTATGTGTTCAAGCGGGAACCTCCAGAGGGCTGTGAAAAAATCCGTGCTTTTGAGGAAGTAGTGTAAGTAGGATGACACTTGCCTTTTGTAATAATGGTTCGTGATGGAGCCACACACAGATACTAAGACAGACCATGTATGTCGCTCCCCTCCACCTACAAAACAGAAAAATTAGGAGAGAAGAGGTAACACTGACCATGTTCTGCTTGACACAAACTCCACACAGTATTCGTACAATAATTATTTATTTTTAATATGACATTGTATGCCCCCCACAGAGATTTTATCACAGGCTAGACTGAGAGGCTGGAGTGAGAAAGAGTCACTGACCCAATGTGCTTCACAACTGAACAGAGATTTCAATTTGAACCTGAGTCTCCCCAGTCCCAGTCGGCTACTGTAGCCACTGCAGCATCAGCTTCACTAAATACGGAAAATACTACCCATGCTATGTACCTCAGCTATAAAGCAGAGCCAATAGTAAAGACAAAAACTACTGGGAGCATCAAAATTGGAAGAGAACACGTTCCACCTCCTCTTCGCTTGGAAATTTTTCCCAACAAATACCATCTTCAGTCTAAGTCTTTCACAAACTCTTTCACTCACTGAAGATTAGCCATACTAGAAGTAAAAATTAATTTTGTAGGGGGTTTCAAAATGCTTATTCAGTGAAGACTAGGGAAGGATGATTACCCCTCCCTTTACTTTTATGCCTTCAGAATCTGTTCCAACAGGTTGAGAGATTGTCCAGAGATTTTCCAGGGGCTACATGGGAGAGAAGGGGAGGATCCTACTGCATGAGTGGACTACTGCAAACATGATGCTTGCTTCTGCCCACTGCCATTAATATTGCGGGTGCACTTGGCAACTAGTCTAAAAGTTAATAATCCTTTTAAAATCCTTACTTAAAAAAAAAAGACTTGTCAAGTTCCTGAATGGATGTGGGATTGGTGAGAGGCTGGACGGATGTCTCAGATGTACAGATTCAGCCCCCTTGATCCCCAGCCAGCTCCAGCAGCAGATAGCAGACTCCAGGCACAAAACTGATTCAGGATTCATAATAGCAAGGGTTAAGACACTGTTTCAGGATCCCTAAGCATAAGCATCATATTCCTTTGCAGGCATACATACTGGCCTGGGGACTTTTAATTGAACCCCTGACATGGGTAACCCCCCCGCCCCCATGAGGCTGAAGTAAGAATTGTAATGCAGTTCTTTGCACTGAAGGGTTCCAGCCCTGTAACACCACGCCACACTGTAGCTCACACTAACACCTTTGAAATGTAAAAACCTGAAACGTACAAGACCCTTTCTTTAACATGTTTCTTGTGTTTCACTGCCAAGAATTTTAGAGTGGTTGATCTAAATTCGCAGGCACTTGATAGCACTGATCCTTGCATTCCTCACTTATTTTCATTGTGCTTTCTTCCTCTAGGCCATTGAGCCCTGATCAGCCTTTCTTGACCTCCTGCCCAGATAAAAACAAAGTCCACTTCAACCCAACTGGTTCTGCCTTTTGCCGGTTCAGCCTGGTGAAACCTCTTAACCACAGCGTGGACTTGCTGTTCAGAGACTTCTCTTCCTCTACCAGCCCCATGCCACCAGGAACGTTCTCCTCATGCCCACCCACTTCTGCCCTTCCAGTCCTTGCTTTGCGGAAAGACTCAAGAGGAGACAACTTCAATGAGAACCCTAAATCACCCTCGCTAAATTTGGAGTCCTGGAAGCGGCACCAGGCAGAAGATGCTGTCCTCTTCCATGGCTCCCTGGTTGTCTGAAGCTGAGAGAGAGAAAGATGAAGCCACAATAAATGCATGGTCCCTCCATGGCCTCTGGAGAAGCATACTTTGGAACTGGGAAACAGAGCGCTTCCAGGACACGAGTGCTCGCAACAGCCTCAATGTGCAGTAGGGTTTTTCTTGGACTCTGGTACTTAAAGCACTTCCCTTTCCTATGGGTTCATGTCAATGTTCACCTGCTGTTGCAGTGTCCAAAGAGCACGTAATACTCTGATGGAATACGCACACTATTAGCAACCAGATTGTTGTGTCTGTTCGCTTGCTGGGTTAGGCAGGAGCTCATTTATAGGCCTTTTTTCAGTGATCTTAAGAATGTCTCAGACTTTCCTTGGAATGGGGAAGATGAAAGAGTTTACATGTAGCCAGAGGAGCTCATGTACCATTCACGCATTTGACTGCTGGGAGAGTTGACCAGGGTAGTCTGTTTCCAAGGGTGCCAAGCCTATTATTTGTGTGTGAGATCCCTTTTGCATCCTACCCTGCATTCTATAACTTGCATCGCTGGAACACAATCAGCCCAATTCTTGAGGCATTTTCCCTTTTTACAATCATGTCATGATAAGCAGATATTCTGCTGAGTGCCTTTTTGAAGTATTGGTCATGAAATAGATTCCTGTGCCTCACACAGAAAGAATAAAGGAGTGTGTCTTTTCCTGTACTGTCTCCAGGTGGACCTCCTGAGGATACTCCTTGCAACAGAGTTCTGGAAAAGGGGATTGACACTCAAGCCTGAACAATGGCTAAGGTTTTCTGGTGTAATGCAGCTGTTAGTCCAATTACTTCCCTTTATATTATAATAAATTGGCTAGTCCAGCTAGGTCTGATACTACTACTATTCCAGCCAATGTGTTTGGGAAATTTGTTTCACTTAAACCCCCTTTCTAACACAACACTCCAAAGATTCCAGGCTCACTTATACCTACATCCTGTCCCACCTCCCACCCCACAGCTGAAAGGCCTTAAACCTGGTGATGCCTTGATTGCAAGTGTACTAGAAATTAAAATGACTTTCTTGTTGTTATGTTAAACCTTTGGATTGTATTGGAAGGTTTTTCTTGAACCCAAGATAGAAAATATATTTTCTTTTGAAGACAGTATTTTTGCAGCTACTTTTGAAGTTTTGTAAATTTTAATGTATGTATCACAGAAGCTTACTGAAAGAATGTTAGCACATCAGAGGTTCATTGCCTTGAGTTGAGAGATTTCTGCAGATCTTGGTGTTTAAACCAATTTAAAAATAAAATAAAAATGTTGGGCCTCTGAAATATTATATAGCACTTTTCTGGGCTGAAAAGGAGGGTGGGTCAGATGGGACTGGGCAGTCTTGGAAACAACTAGTGTTCTAACCCCTCCAGCTACCACACCACCAATTGAAGTTTTCAGGTAGCTACAAAAGTTAAAGCAGAAGCTATTCAACAGTGGTGGGGAACCTCAAGCCTGGGGTCCTAATCCTACCCTCCTAAAGTTCCCCACATGATCATACTCCTCCCTGAGCCCTCCCTCTTCCTCAGCTACCAAACCTTTAGTAGCTTGCTTTCTTTTTATTATTATTATTATTATTATTATTATTATTATTATTATAACATTTCTATGCTGCCCCTTGCCGAAACCTCGGGGCGGCTTACAACATGATAAAATACATTGAAATACAATAGTACATAATAAATTACCATTAAATATAAAATACAAAAAAATACATTGATTTACAAATACAAAATTAAAATTATCAGTATAAAATAAAAATATAGGACCCTCTCCTTTTCTTAAAAACAAAACTCTGTGATGCCACTTCACTGTTGTTTTTATTTTGGCACCACCTCTCCTTTGCCCCACTTACTGTTGGAATATGGCTACTGAAAATGTCTCCAAAATTCAATTTGGCTCATTGGTTTCTATGAACTCATGGCCTAGTGCTGAATTAGTACCTGCCTGTGCCCTATTGGCAGGCCTAAATGCTAGGAACAAAAGTTTGTTAAACTAGATACAGTGCAGTTAGGAGGTGGTAGATAACAGTATACATTAGCTTAAGTATAGCATAATAGCATAACTTCATTCTCCCCTGAGGATGTCAGAGACAACTTGTCATCAGAGAATGCTAACAATAGGGGAAGATTGCCATGGCAGAACATGGAATTTGGAGAAGCAAAGGAAAGATAGTCAAGGACCAGGTTAATAAAAAAAATACATGTAGACCACTTAATGGCAATCTGGACAATAAGGTCAGAATAGGTTGCTTGACACATGTTATCTGATTTATGGGGAACCCCAAAGACATTCCTTTTTAAATTGTTTCTTTTTCTGGGTCTATCAGCACTCAGTAAGTTGTGAAGCATGGGCTAGCTTCAGGATGAAAAAACTAGTGCAGTGAAGTGTTGGGGAGAGTTGGTTCCAGAACTTGGATTCCCAATTCCCATCATCCCACACCATTTTCACGGAGGCTGATGGCACTGCGGTGCAGTTGGAATGTAAGCCTGGGAAAACCTGAAATCCAGTTCCTTTTTAACCAGGAAGTTCACTGAGGGCCTTTGGGGCAGTCTAATCTCTCTCAAAGGGGGACTGGAAGGATCAGATGGAGAAAAGGAGATCATGGGTCACAGGTTCGTCACCAGTAGAGCAGCCATAACGCTCTCCAGCGAAGGTCTTCAATTCACATAGTCACACGTGGTTTATTCCCCAACAACGCAGCAGCGTGACCAATCGTAAACAGTAACGATCTGCTGTTGACGTGAAGCGGGTGCACTTACAGCAGCCCTCCTGAGACGTCGAGGCCTTCTCCATCCCCACTGTGGCTTCCTTGCCTGCCTAGCAACCGTTGCCACCACTCACCTCAACTCCACCCTCTCCTGGGACCAGCAATAAGAGTCTGACACGGTAAAGATCCCGCCTTCCAGTGGGCCAAACAATCAGAATGGTCCACATTTGCCTACGTACAAAAGGTGCTGCCCGATTCTCTCAGGCCCCCACTGCAGCGCTGTCCGCAGCGATGCCTAAACGAGCACATTCCTGGCACAGAGGAGAAGACGGAGGCGTAACGGAGCAAGGGGAGCAAACAGAAGCCGTGCCCCAAAATCGTCCTGCCTGTAGCTTTACGCTACTCGAGCGCCTTGGATCGGCGGCGTAGGGCCAGTCAGGCGGCACAAAGGCAGCTCTCATGTTGGAGATGGCGGGGGCCCTTCAGCGCCGACGTCTCAGTCGCTTCTATGAGGCCCTCTTTTGCACCGGCGCCGGGGCCGCTGCGAGATGTCTGCGTGGAGTTATCGCCGCTGAAGTTGCCGGGACCTGAATCCGTGCAAGGCTCAGGCATGGGGGTGAGCGGAGGGCCGGGAGGAGGCGCCTTCCTTTCCGAGCGGCTGCGGTTGCCTTTCTGCTGCCTGGGTGTCTTCGTCTGCTACTTCTGGTACGGCGTCTTGCAAGAGACAATGTAAGTCGCCTGAAGAGACAGCGCTTTCCTCTCCGTCCCTCTTACGCTGTCCGAAGCTTGGATGCTTTTGATTCTGGGGTTCGCCAGCAGACTTTGCAACACCATCTGAGCGATTGCCCCTTTTTCCAGTAATAATGGCCCTGAAATGTTTCTTCTTCTCTGTTTACTTTCTTCCTAATGCAGCCACCCCATCAACCCTTAAATCAAGTTTGGACAACTTGTGGCTTTCTAGAGGGCTTGGATATTAACTCCCAGAACTCCTAACCATTGGCCATGCTGGCAGGGGCTTCTGGGATATAAAGTCCAAAGTGCTACCCTCTGCCTGCCCCTAGCCTAGATGGTACTTTGAATTTAAGAGTCTTTTTTCGCCTATTCCCTCTTTCAGATTGCTGTTATTCATCTTGGCTTAGATCCTGAGTTGCATCTAGATTTAGTCATATTTGATGAAGCCTCTTTGAATTTAATGGGATTAAACTGTGACTTAGTTGTCTAATTGGTTTTAATAGGTTTATTCTAAGTATAAAAAATCTCAGAACAAGACTCTGTGGGCATCCAGAAAATTGAATGAAGAGATATATTCAGGGCAAACAAAAGAAAGTACATCTTCATGCAATGCATGGTCAGCCAGTCTGGTTCATTAATGGAAGATGTTGCGAAGGCTGCCAGCATTGATACTTTTCAAATTGTATTAGACAGGTTTTTGGAGAATGAAGCTTTCAATGGCTACTTATTATGATGCCTATATATACTATCTCTAGTATCAGAGGCAGTTACATCTGTGAATGCTAATTGTGTTGAGAAGAAGGGTGCTACTTGGTTCATGTCCTGCTGAGACTTTCAATAAGCATCAGGTTGGCCATTGTGGGGTCAGAATACTGCACTTTATATGCCTTTGATATGATCCAGCAAAGCTCCTTTTCTTAAGTCTGGATCCAGTCTCACGGTTTTAACAGCTGTGGGACAGATAGGGAAATTCACTTGTGGTATATTATTACATATCCTGAAGTGTGAATAATTATTCTGTACTGAATATTTGACTTTCGCACAGTTACTAAAAACACAGAGTCCTCCCCATTCCATTAGCAATTCTTTTTGTTTCATTTTTGTCTGGGTATGTCTATCAGTCTTTGTTTCTATGGAAGGAGAGCATTCATGTACTGACTTAGTTTTAGATAGTATTCTTCATTAACCTATAGCAGGACTGGGGAACACATGTTCCTCCAGATGGTGTTGGCCTCCTGCTCACATCAGTGCTAACCATTAGCCATGCTGGCTAGGGCTGAAGAGAAGTGAAGTCCAACTACATCTGTGTGGGCACATTTCCCACCCTCCTTCTGTAGCTTCAAGGCAGCCAATTCAAAGTAATCAGGGCAGTGTGGAATTTTGCATATTCCTACATGGTCAAAAGGGCCTTCTTAGGTGAGGTCAATTTTTACCTTTATTTTTCAAGTTGCTATCTCATGTGGTTGCTGCTGTTAAAACTTGTGTTCAGTTTTTAACAACTGAAATTTGAAACCGGAATGCATATGAACAGTTTCAGGCTGCAATTCTATGCACATTTATTTGAAGTAAGTCTCATTTACCTCGGTGGGGCTTACTTTTCAGTAGTCATTTGCTGCTCTGTTTCCTGCAAGAGAGAGAGAAATGACTGTGGGTGGAAGGAATAGTAAATAGAATATACATTTAATTTTGATGTTTGGATTATAGCTTTTTCCAAAATAAAAAATTTCCACCAGTGTTCAGTGAAAATTAAAATAAGCAATTAGTATCAGAAATGGGTTACAGTTGCATGCTATAAAGCACATAAATGGATTCTGAGAAACATCTCTTTGAAAAGCTTGTTTTCTTTCCTCCCTCACCCTTCTCCTTTCTTTCTGGTTCGCTTCCTTCTCTTACTGTTGTTTTCCCATGCAGCCCGTTTTATGTTTTCCTGGGTAATCACACAGATTTGATAAGCTCTGTAATTTGCATATTCTTCTGGAGAAGGGTGTTGGTGATGACCTATAAAACCCTAAACAGCTTGGGTCCTGGTTACGTCCATATATGCCCGCCCGCCCCCTGAGATCAGGGGGAGAGGTCCTTCTCCGGGAACCCTCCGTGAAGGAAATTAGGAGGGTTAGTACTCGGAGGAGGGCTTTCTCTGTGGTGGCGCCCAATCTATGGAATGCGCTCCCCAAAGAGGTCTGCCTGGCGCCGTCGTTATTTGTTTTTCGGCGCTAGGCGAAAACCTTTTTATTCAAACGTCATTTTAACTGTTAATAGTATTTATTTATTTTATTCTTTGGCCAGGGCAACTTATTTTATATTGTTAACTTGTTTTATATTGTTAATGTATTGTATTTTAATTGATTTATTTGTGAGCCACCCCGAGGCTTCGGCGAATGGGGCGGCATAGAAATTTTCTAAATAAATAAAATAAATAAATGTAGTCTAGCAGGTTCTTTTGTATAGTTCTGACTCATTAATTCCCCTCTGATGCTTACAACTTCAGTGGGGGAAACAATCTCGATGGCTCTTGGCTCATTGCTGGAACATCTCAGTAAAGAAATAAATGTTCCTTGGTTCTTCTAATTTTCCACCCAAAATTAGCATATATGTACCTGTTGCAGATAACATGTGCACAAGATAGAGTTATGTAAGATGGTGTCTCATTCTGTGCTAATTTTCTTGTCCTGATTTGTTCTTCCTACAGTACAAGAGGCAAATATGGGGAAGGAGAAAAGCAAGAGAAGTTCAGATATGCTCTGTCTTTGGTCTTCATTCAATGCGTGATCAATGCCATTTTTGCTAGACTATGTAAGTACTGCTATGGCAACTAGAAAGCCCTCTGCTTTGAGTCCCACACCTTCAGTCTCTTAGTTTGGCTTTTCAACCCACATCTTTAATGTTCGTCTTTCATTTCTTTATAGGAGTGAGTTGTGGTAGCCTGGTTTTGGATGGTTATTTATTTATTATGTTTGTACCCTTTCTGTTTTTCTCTTGCAGGGAGGCATACATGTTCCTCTTCTCCATTTTATCCTCACAGTAATCCTGTGAAATAGGTTAGGCTGGGAATCAGTGACTGGATGAATGAGGTTTATGACTGAGTATAAACGTAAATCCAGATCTCCCTTGTCGCTGTGCAGCACTGTCATGTAATCACTACATCACACTGGCTCTCTGTCTCCTGTAGAAGATGCCTATAAGCCAGATATTTGGCAGGCTGCATCGAATCCATGTAGGAAATTCATTCTCTCTGCTGTTGCTCTTGCCAGCTCATTGTTTTCTGCAGCTTGCTTCAGGGGAGGGTGTAAAAGGTGAGAAAATCTGTTGCTTGTCTCTTGCTCCTCCTCTGATTTGGCCTTTACTTTGAAAAATTGAGAGGTGGTGGGGCAGTGGCTGCCAAAGAGCAACAAAGGCTCAGAAAAAGTTTTCCATTTGTGCACTGCTCTCTCCTGGGTTCTTCAGGGTGTGTGCATGTCTGTATCAGAGGAATATAAGAAAAGAACCCTTTTCCTTTGCCTTTACTGTAGCCTGCTTTTTGCTGCAGGAAAAACCACTCAACCATGTGCATCACCCTTTTAATTGCCCCATTACACTTCCCAGCATTCCTCTTGATTGGGGTACAGTGATAGCCTGCTGCAACTGCCTGCACCCAACTGCCATCTGCCAATAAAGGCCACACTATTGAGCACACATTCCCTGAACACTTTGCATAGGGTGGTTTGATCATGATCCTTTCCCTGTTGGCCATTGTTAAATGCCTGTTCTCCCCCATTCCAGCTGCTCATAGCCTTCTGTTCCCCGTTTCCTGGTATTGTTTTTTTGTGTTGGTGGAAAATTAGGTATGTTAAGTTCTGTTTGGGCATAAAATGAGTTGCCAAGCAAGGATGCTGACTTGATTTTTAGGCTGTATACAATATACCCCCGTGAAGTCACGGTTCAGCGTTCATGGCTTCAGTCTTTTGTGGGATTTTTCTCGGAGCGAGTCCAAGCCGATCTCTTTGAGAGTAAGCCGGCGCCTTGCTGTGCGGCGACTTACTCACAAGGAGATCGTTTCCTCCGAGTTTGGACTCACTCGGAGAAAATGATCTCTGTGCACACTCGCCCCTCATGTGCGCCTGCCCCCTGGCCCAGCTCATGCCTCCCACCCGCACCACCTTGGCAGCCAGCGCCCATCACCGGCACCAAATTTGTGGTTTTTCACAATTGGTGGGTGCTTTAGGAACATAAGCCCCGCAGATTTCACGGGACTACTATATTCCTCCTACTGGCTTTGCTTCAACTTTTTGGAGACAGATAATAGATCATCTTACCCATTCATAAAGATGTAAGCTGCTGTATGAAGACTGTGCTCCCTGAAGTATGGATTAAAAGTCTCTAATGTAAAATAAACATATTTAGGGCTACTGCTACCTTTCTTCCCTTTGCATATAAAAGTAAGGTCCATGCCACTCCATTCGTGTTCTTTCTGTTATTCCTGAACAATTTGCTTTGCTGCCAACACGCCTGTTTCTTGTGCATTTTCTCTCCAATCAGTGATCCAGTTTTTTGATACCGTCAAAGTGGACAGGACGCAGAATTGGCTTTATGCAGCTTGCTCCCTCTCCTACCTGGGAGCCATGGTTTCCAGCAACTCCGCTCTGCAGTTTGTCAACTACCCAACTCAGGTGAAAAGAAGTGCTGCTTGTGGGGTTCACAGAGCAGTCTGCTTCTTCCTGATGAAAGGCTTGGCAACATTTGCAAACAGTCTTGCATGTCTTGTTGGAATTATCTGACCCTTTGAGTAGGCCCAGCTGTAGAAAGTAGCAAGGCGGACTTGTCAGACCCCCAAGGCCAATTGGCCTGACAGTGCAACCATTTGCGCCTTCCATATACAGTCAGGAATGACTGGATGCTGTTGAATAGACTTATCAGTTTGCATGTCTTCCAGGGTGGAGGTAGGGGCTACTGAATAGCACTGAGGTCCATGGCTTAGAGAACCTTCCAGTTCTGGAGTTAATACTGTTTCGGGGTATCCCAAACAAGGCCTCTTTGCAAGATTATGGGGGAACTTTAGCAAGACCCATCAGCAGGTCCCTATTAGACAGCATATGTTGTGGCTTCCCCAACAACCCATAGCCTAAGGGGATGTGGAAACAGGCAGGCATAGATAAGAGGATCCCTGGCCTTTGCAAAGAATTTTAGTAAAGGAGATGGTTCTCTGTAATTAATGGACTACGCCTGAGAAATCTTTCAGACAAAGGACTAAGTCTGGGAGGTACAGGGATGGTCTTGTGAAGAAAGAAAGAAGTGAGAAACAACTTAAGGAAGAAACAGGAATAATACTTTTGGGAACTGTAAAAGAAATGCATGGATATGGAAAAAGATAGGTAGGCAATAGAAGAGAATGTAAATTCTTGGCCAAGGAACTGTATATGTGTAGTTCCTGTTCAGGGACTGAGTCACTTCTCTGCCTCCAACTGCAGCCTTTTCCTTGGATGCAGTGAGGCAGGGAGCTTTCTGATGCTGTTCAAGGTGGAGCTCTAGACTATTTTGTCTAGAGGAGCTCTAGACTAAAGCTCTTCTTTTCTCCCTTGCAGGTCCTTGGGAAATCCTGTAAACCCATCCCTGGTAAGCAGTCTTCTTACAACTGGGGTCATGTCTGAGTTGGTACCTATGCTGGTGTGTTGCTCAATTCCATACACTCTTGAGTGGACAAGCCGTTTTTCTGAAGTTAAGCTGTATGGATGCTCTGAATGTGTGTAACCCTCAGTGCCCTCTACTAAGACAGACTCAGACACACTTAGAATATATATTTTTAAAATGTTGATTACATGAAAGACAGAACAGATGTGGGTATTTTGTCTCAGTCCAAACGTCATCACTTTGCAAGTTAAGCAGCAAGACAGCCAAAATATAACCCATATACATTCATGTTTCTTAATTCTTAATAGAATGCCTAGTATGACCTATGAAACAAGATTGCACGGGGACAAGTGCCTCATTCTAAAAACAGATTTAGAACCCTCATCTGTCCTGTCACTTCATTTTGCAAGGCAGGCTCTTGGGTAGCCAGAGGCACAGTTGAGCTGTGACCTCATTTCCATGTTGGAACCAAGCTTTCTTATACTTTTGACTTCCTACTTTCTGTTATAGAGAAAGGAGGGGTCATTTGGAAGAGTTAGTAAAGCTTCGTACATGTTTGAGTGTAATTACTGTTCTGTTGTGCCTTCTATTTAAGGTATTTTAACCCAATCTGGAATCTATTAAGCTTATCCTAATGTACTTATCCTTTCCATCTACCTCATTTTCATTTCATAATACCAGGAGTATTTACCCAAGCCTCATCTTCTTTTTCCTCTGTACACTTGCTTAATCCTATCTCCTTTCTGTTAGGTTTTAATTAAGCCTTATTTTCACCACAACCTGCTCACCAGACTTGTAAGCAGCTCATTTTCTTTTCATGTCCCAAAAGTCAATCAGATTCTCTTCTGTCCCAGCATACCTTAGTAACACCCAGGTTTTGTTTTTGGATTTCTCCCCTTTCTTCATATGGCTTTTCCCAGAAATGAGCTATACCAGAGAAGGATGATTGCATTGCAGAAGGCATCCTTCATAACCATTCCTGAACCCTGCAACCAGAGCAGTGTGTGTGTGCCTGCCAGGGAGCTACTTGGATGTCTTATACTCACTGGCTGAATTTGCATGACTGTTGGAATTGCTTTTGCTGCCAGGAGCTGTACTATCACAAAATCCCTGGACAGAGCTGGGGTGAAACTGTGCACTGGAGAAAAGAAATCAAATGGCTGTTGAGATCACATGGCTACTAGAAATGGGGGATATAGAATTAGAGGCACAGGAAAGAAGTCAGATGGGTACCGAAGTTCCACTTCTGGTTTCTTGAAGGGCTCTATTGCACATTCTTTCACTCTCTCTGTTTTGGGATTAGGGTTCATTTTGGGAAGATGATTTTCATCTGAATATGTCCCTTTTTTCAAACAGGTACTAGGAAGCTAGAGGACTAGGAATTTCCTCTTAAAAAGGAGAGAGTGAAGGTTTTGTGGGATTGCTGCTGTGTTTGTGGCATATATAAAAAGAAAAAGAGACTCTGCTTACTGGCCTGAGCCATGAGAACACACAGAATCACTCCATTGGCAGACCTGCAACCTCCTGACGTGTTTGAACAAGGCCTTTGTCATGGCCAGGAAGTGGATGATGGGCTCAGCAGGCCTGGCAAACTGCCTATTGAAGGCAGTCTTTCCTAACCCCAGTGCCTTCCCGAAGTGTTGGAGTGCACTTTTCATCACCTGTATAGATGATGAGACTTGTAATCCAACAAATTGAGAGGTCAGTGGTTTGGAGAAAAGCAGGTTGCTTACGTGTAACTGATGTTCTTCAAGTGGCCATCTGTGCAGTCACACATATGGGTGCTGCGCCTGTGCAGTGCCTTTGGCCGGAAGATTGCAAGCTAACGGTTTTTTGGCGGGAAAGCTCTGCTTCCCCTCCCCCATAGCCTATAAATAGCAGAGCGTCCACCATTTTGTTCAGTCTTTGACGACCGAACGTATGCCCCCATGTGGAAAAAATTTGTCACTACTAAATAAGAAAAAGATTGGTACCATGAAAAAAAGGGAAAAGGTTTGGTACCGACAAATATGTCCACTCACTGACACCGAGTGGGGCCGGCGGGTGGGTTGTGTGACTGCACAGATGGCCATTTGAAGAACATCAGTTACAGGTAAGCAACCTGCTTTTCTTCGTCGTGGCCTCTGTGCATCACACATATGCTTACCATAAATGGAGGAGGGGAGGTGTCCTCAGCGAAGAACAGATGAAAGAACGGCTCTACCAAAGGAGCAATCTTGCCGAGCCCGAACATCTAAATGATAATGTCTGGCAAAAATGCAAGGTTTTGCCCAAGTAGCAACTCGGCATACATCATCGATCGGAACTCCCAATGCGAAGGCAGATGAGGTAGCAACAGCCCTAGTCGAGTGACTTCAAGTTGCTGTGGGTAGTTCAATCCTAGCCAGCTGATAGGATAAGATGATAGCATGGACTATCCACTTGGAAAGTCTCTGCGGAGTGACTGGAGCGCCTTGATCTCTGGTGGAATATTTAACGAATAGTCTATTTGAGCGTCGAATAGACTCAGTCCTGGACCTGTAGAAAGCTAAGCAGCGCCAAACGTCGAGTGAATGCAACGATCTCTCTAACGGAGTCGATGGGGATGGAAAAAAGGCAGGCAAGATAATATCCTGTCCCATGTGAAAAGATGTGGCCACCTTAGGAAGAAAAGATGGATCGAGCCGTAAGACGACCTTTTCTCTGTGAAAATTTAGGTAAGGAGGGTCTGTGCAGAGAGCGCAGAGCTCACTGGCCCTTTGGGCTGAGGTAACCGCCGCAAGAAACACCATCTTCCAGGAAACAAGGCGTAAATCGACTATTGCCAATGGTTCGAAAGGAGTTCTCATAAGCGCTTGCAAAACAACAGAGAGACTCCATGTAGGCATTACTGGCCTGATTGATGGATTAAGATTATGAAGTCCCTTAAGAAACCTCTTAATAGTAGGTTGAGAGAAGATGGTTGATCCATCAACCAAGCCACGATGGTAAGCTGTTGCTGCCGTATACACTTTAACTGAAGACAGTTTCAATCCGGAATGGTGTAGTTCTAATAGGAACTGAAGGATTTGATATATCGAAGATGTGAATGGTGAGAATGAACGAGACTCGGCAAAGGTAGAAAATCGTCACCATTCAGCCGCGTAGGACTTCCGTGTGGACAGCTTCAAAGCAGAATCAAGGATGTGTTGGATATCTGGATGAAAGGCTGTCGGATTCGATGGATCAATCTTTGAATCCGATGGTACGGAAGGAACAAATGAGGAAGAAACACCAAACCCACTGGGTTCGACAGCAGGATTCGAACCACTTGAAGTTGCCGTCGATACCGATGGCGCAATGGTAGCTATCAGATTTGCCACGCTGTGAAGTTCAATGACAGTAAATCTGGATGGTGAAGCGCACTGCCCTGTTGGGTTATGAGGTATGGAAGCAGTGGGAGATGGAGGCATTCCCCATGAGAGATGTCGAACAGTGTCGCAAACCAAGCTTGGTGTGGCCACCAAGGGGTAATTAGTATCCTGATCGTGTACTATCTTTGCTATCACTCTCATCATAAGAGGAATCGGAGGGAAGGCGTAAAAGTTCAGGTTGTTCCAGGGAATCATGAAGGCATCCCCTAGTGATCCGTCCCTGATTCCCGCTCTCGAACAGCATCGCACACCTTGTTCTGTTGGGTGGCGAACAAGTCCACGTCGGGGAACCCCAAGCGATGAAAGAGATGGTCGCATGTCTGAGGATCTAGTTCCCATTCGTGAGAGATGAACATGTGCCTGCTGAGGAGGTCCGCTTGCACATTGTCCGTACCAGCCAGATGGACTGCCATCAGTGTAATGTCTCTCGGAATGCACCAGTCCCAAATTTTCATTGAAAGTCTGGCCAAAGTCAGGGACTTTGTTCCACCTTGTTTGTTCAGATAGAAGACGGTGGCTAAGTTGTCCGAAGTTATCTGAACGACCCGATGTTGGAGAACATCCTTGAAAGAACGTAGGGCCTTGAATACTTCCAGCAGCTGCAGGAAGTTGATATGATTCGTGGATTCTCGATGATTCCACGTGCCTTGGGTGTATAGGCTGGAACATATCGCTCCCCATCCCAGAAGAGATACATCAGTACCGAGGGTTATCGAAGGACATCGGGGTCTGAAGGGAACCCCAACAGTCAGATTGGCTGGGACCGACCACCAGAGTAGAGAATGGAGCAGTGAGGATGGGATTCGAATCAATTTCGACAGTGGGTCTCTCTGTGGGTGGAACATCTTGTTGAAGAGGAGTTGTAATGGACAGAGTCAACGCCTGGCATGTGGCACCACAGCAACCGAGGAAGCCATATGTCCCAGGATCCTCTGGATGGACTTTGCCGGGACCGTCCCGTCTCGTCACATTTGATGGATGTGGTGAGCAAGGGTCTGTTGTCTGTCCCGAGGAAGGAAGGCTTTTCCCAACATCAGATCCAGGCGGGCTCCAATGCAGGTAAGCGTCTGCGTCGAAAGAAGAGCAGATTTCTCGGTATTAATGCGTAGGCCCAGATCATCTAACAAGGCACAGGTTGTACGGATGGATGCTAGGAGTCCTTCCCTAGAGTGGGACACTAGCAGCCAATCATCAAGATACGGGTAAATTTGTATGCCTTGGAGGTGTAGGAAAGCACAGACAGGGGCCATACACTTGGTGAACACTCTCAGAGCAGTGGCCAGTCCAAAAGGTAAAACTGTAAATTCGTAGAAATGGGGTGCAACAGCAAAACAAAGGAAACACCTATAACTCAGGTGGAACGAAATGTGGAAATAGGCGTCCTTCAAGTCCAATGAGGTGAACCAATCCTCTTTCCTTAGCAGCGGCAAAATATTTTGAAGGGTGGTCATTCGAAACTTTTGTGTCACGATAAATCAATTCAGATTATGTAAGTCCAAAATCAGACATAGACCACCATCCCGCTTCGGGACCGTAAAATATCTGGAGTAGAATCCGTGGAGTCCGTCAGGTGGAGTTACTTGACGAATCGCTCCTTTACGAAGAAGTTGTTGTATTTCATCAAGCAGTACCGGCGAGCTTGATGTAAACCGGATCGGACTCGATGGAGGAACGATGTCGAATTCTATCCGATACCCATGCTGTATGATGGACAATACCCACCAAGCAGATGTGATGGACTCCCAAATGGGGAGTCGGCTTTGCAGCCGGTCCCCAGATGAGAGGGGGGTGGGTATGGAAGGGATCAGAGGAATGGTTTGCCAGTCCCGTCAACGCTGTCTCCTATCTCCGTCGAAACGGCGACGGCCCTGCTGATAGCGTTGCTGAGGCTATTTATTTATTTATTTATTTATTTATTTATTTATTTATTTATTAAAACATTTCTATGCCGCCCCATTCGCCGAAGCCTTGGGGTTGACGGCGCTGCTGTTGCTGCTGCCGGTGCTGGGGCTGCTGTCTAGGCTGGTAGGACTGCCTATAAGATGGATGAGTCCATGACCACTTACGCCTGGTCTGGGTCTGTAGCTCCATCCTGCGTGCCATCATGTGGGATTCATGAAGTTTCTTTAACTTGTGGTCGGGTCCGCGACTGGAAAAGCCCGGACCCGTCGAAGGGCATTTCCTCAATCTGACGTTTAGTCTCCTCCGGGAAATTACAATTTCTTAGCCAGGTGTGTCTCCGGAGTGAAACGGCACTGACCAGGGCCCTCGAGTCTGTGTCCGCATGATGCCTGGCTGTGGACAACTGCTGGACAGCAACCTGCATCGCCTCCTTGGTGAGGACCTTGGCCAGGTCACCCTGGTGGTCCGGGAGGGTCGAGGCAACGTTGTGGAGGCGTTGCATTATGAAGTATTGGTACCTCGCCAACGTCGCCTCGTAGTTGGATGTACGCAGCCCCAGGCCTGAGGCAGCGTAGACTTGCCTGGCCAGGGAGCCGATCTTTCGTCCCTCCTTATCCCTTGGTGCAGTGTGACCTCTCGCCTCTTTGCCCTGGGAGGACTCCACCACGACTGAGTTCGGCTTGGGGTGGCGGAGGAGGAAGGGAATGTCCTCCTCCCAAACCCAGTACATGGATTCGTACCTCCGAGACGTGGGTTGAGGGTGAGAGGGCAAGTCCCAGGGCTGCGTCATCGCCTGTCGTAAGGTGGTGATCAACGGCAGGACGATCGATGTGGACTGTTCCCCGCAGACGACATCATAAAACTTGTCCATAGTAGGTCCCAGACGCTGGACAGCGTCGATGTCGAGGGATTGGACAAGCTGGGATATCAGCTCCGCGAAGGAGACATGCGACTCATCCAGTGATGAGACATGCGACTCATCCAGCCTTGGGAGGTCACAGCGACGTCAGGGGAGGTTGAATCGACCTCCGAATCGTCAGAGTCAGCACCATAATATGGGGGAGCCGATGATGAGGACTCCACCGGAGAGAAGTACCGGCTACTTCCATCCCGAGGAGGTATCAGGGATGCATGCCTCGGGCCCAAGGACTGCAGTCAGCCACAGGAAGGTGGCGAGGACTGACCCCTAGGAGCGGGATAGAATCCGACGGAGAGTGGATCGCCCCAGGTCTGATAGTATGAGCGATGCCATCCCCCAGAGCGCTGCTCCATGGAGCAACTCCTTCGGCTCCTAGGCAGGGACATCTCTACATCCGCCTCCAGAGTGGCTGTGGGCATAGGTGTGGGCGACCTAGCCCTAGGGGGGGGAATCCTGAATTTCCCCATCAGAAATTGAGCCTCGTTGTAGAGTTGGAAGCGGCTCAGCAGGAAGGTTAGCCGCACGGCGAGGGGACCCTTGAGGGGTAACCCTCATAGCTGCCTGAAACACCGGGTCGGGTGGAGTCGGTACGGTAAGTGCCGTCGGTACCGAGGGGGCCGTCGAACCCGGGTCTCGGTGTCGAGGAAGCTCCGGATCCTTCGATTTTTTGGGGGGTTTAGGAGCCTTCTCCTTCCTGGCCTTCTTATGGCCTGCTGACTTGTTGGGTTCAGCATGCTTGTGCTTCTTGTGCTTTTTCTTGGGAGAAGCAGGTGGAACCCGCGTGGCAGACGCGCCTTCGTCTGATGGGCGTGAGGGTGGAGCCACTGAAGCAGAGCCAGGCTTCGGAGCAGCAACGAGCGGGTTGGACTGCATGAGAGTCCGATCCCACAAGAGCCTCCGCAGGCGATTCTCACAGTTTTTCCTGGCCTGTTTAGAGAAGGCCAGGCAGTGAGAGCATTTATCAGTCCTATGCCCCTCCCCCAAGCAGAGGAGGCATAGGTCATGTGGGTCGGTCAGAGACATTTTAGACCCACACTCCGCGCATTTGCGGAAAGCTGCTCGCTGCGCCATCGCAAGAAAGGGAAAAAAAGGAGATGGTACAGAGGGTAAGTGTGTGTGTTTGTGTGTGTGTTTATATATTTATATAGAAGATCGAAGAGAAGGTAAAATGATAGAGAACTATAAGAACTAACAAGAAATAACGGGGCTATAACAACTGGGAGAGAACAATTGAGAAGAAGGCCCAGCTAGACGAGCAACGATCAGAGCGAGAGCGAAAGCGGCACAAGGCACAGCGAACGGTGGTCGCAAAGACTGAACAAAGTGGCGGATGCTTCGCTATTTATAGGCTATGGGGGAGGGGGAGCAGAGCTTTCCCGCCAAAAAACCGTTAGCTTGCAATCTTCCGGCCAAAGGCACTGCACAGGCACAGTACCCATATGTGTGATGCACAGAGGCCACGACGAAGAAAGCCATATTAAGGAGAAAAGCTCGATATGATGGTCCTTCCTCTTAAGAGTACCCTCAGTGTATGGTTCCATACCCTGGATGTAGTGTAGAAATGGATACCCTGGTAAATGACCTCTAGTAGTCTTTGGTTAGTTAAGCTTCCTAAGGAGGACTGGCGGGGAGTAGTATTTTGTTTTCACAGTTCCTTTTTCTCTGTAGTCATGCTCCTGGGGGTGACGGTGCTGAGGAAGAAGTACCCATTGTCCAAATACTTCTGTGTCTTGCTGATCGTCACAGGTGTAGCCCTGTTCATGTATAAGCCAAATAAGGGAGGAAGCAGTGGGGACGACCACATCTTTGGTTACGGGGAGCTCCTGCTGGTAAGTCCTGAGCTTTTGTTGACATCTCTGCTAGCTGTGGCAAGGTACTTAATTGTTGTGCTGTATAGGGAACCATAGGAACCAAGAAAGCTGAGTCAGACCCTTGGCTCACCTCTCCCAGTACAGGCAGTCCCCAAGCTACAGATGTCTGCGTTATGAACAAGCTGTCCTAAAGCCTATTAATTTAAAGAAATTACTGTGGAAAATGGTCATCACCATAGAGAGACAGGAAGGGAAAGGGGACACGGAGGCCGCCAGAGCAGCCTTCCTGTCCCACCCATCCGGAGAGGGAAATCTGTTGGGCATTTCCTTGCTGCAAAGAGGAGGCACTGCTGAGTTTGGACAGCGGAGCTAGAGATTTTTGTGGTTTTCCCACTTTCACAAGAGTCCTATGCCTCTAACCCAGGGGTCTCAAACTCGCGGCCTGCGGGCCAGTTGCCGGGATGGGCGAGGCACGGGGGAGGGCCCTGTGGCCTTCAAAGCGTCGGCGGCACCCAGGCCGGCCGTGGGATGAGCGGCCCACCACCGCCGCGGTGGTGGAATACTTGCTGCGGCCCAGCCTCACCCAGACTCTACTTCCAGCGGCCCCCAGGTAAGCTGAGTTTGAGACCCCTGCTCTAACCCCTTGCGAATGTGGCGGGCCAACTATATGTGATCCAACTCAACATATAAATTGAACTTAAAACAAATTTCTGTTTTCTCAGGAACTGAACTTGTTCATAACCTGGGAACTACCTGTATTGTCAACACTTACTAGTAGCAGCTCTCCAGGTTTTCAGGCAGGCAGCTTTGTCATCTTACTGGGAAATGCTGGGGGTTTGAACCTGGGACCACCACCATCCATGCTCTACAGTCGTTTTCCATAAGCACTGGCAGTTGCTTCTGGGAAAAGACACAAGTCTGTCTGTAAAAGACTGGTTACATTGTAAAGCACAGGTGACATTGGAGAGAGGTCACAAACCAAGATGAGTATCCAAACCTGCTCCTTGTTGATGTGATTATATTACTTCATGCAGGGCAGGTAAACTTGCATATGTTTAGTCACTTTACTTGTTGAAAGCTCTTGCGGAAACACTCTTCTTGGTGAAGGGTGTGTAAGGGGGAGATTTATGAGATAAATAACTGATGCAAAGTGAGGTGAAATCATTTCTTCTCTCCATGTTCATTCCTTGCTGCATTTGGCACAGCAAAGGGAACGTGGGATTAAACCCATTTTCAGACTTTAGCCCATGACCATTCTCTCTCTGTCTCTCTCTCTCTCTCTCTCTCTCTCTCTCTCTCTCTCTCTCTCTCTCTCCATCTCTCTCTCTCTCCATCTCTCTCTCTCTCCATCTCTAAAATGGGCAAAACCTACCTTGTATGGTAGTTGTAGGCATAAATTAAATGTGACGTTTTTAATTTGTAATTTACATTTGGTTATTTTTTTTGGAGGGTGAGATGTAGAGTAGGTATAAGCAAAAGGAGACAGCAGGAAGTGTCTTGGAAGCTGAGTGTATGGCAGAGATTCTTAAATCTTCATCAGTATTTGCCTGGACTTGGTAGCTTTCCACCCTGGAAAACTATTCAGTGGCTTCTTCTTAAAATGAAGGCAGCAATTCTTGAGGTTTGGGGAAGGGTACCAACTTGTATGCTGCAGAACAAGAATGTTGCATGTTCTGATTGCAGAAATCAAGCATGTCACAGATCCCCTTGCTAAGCAGATTTTGTGGGGAGCAAAGGATTTTCAGGAATGCAGATGTCGGTCTTACCTGTCTTTTGTTTCTCCCCGCCCAACTTTTCAGTTGATGTCTTTGACACTGGATGGGCTGACCGGAGTGTCTCAAGATCACATGAGAGCACACTACCAGACTGGCTCTAATCACATGATGTTGAACGTTAATCTATGGTCCACTTTGTTCCTGGGAGCTGGTAAGGCACTTCTTGTGAAACAGGGAGGAGAAATGTTGGGACAGCCTGGTTTGAACCTAGAGGCCTTGATCCAGCTCATCATGGGCAAAGCAAAAGACAATTGATCTGCTGCTGCACCTTCAGATTTTCAAAAAGCAGCCAAATCTAGTCCAAAGCTCTTCTACACACTGGACTCTTTGCAGAGTAAGGCTGTGTGAATGCTACCCCCATTATGGACACATGGCCTGTTAATCCTGCTCTCCCACTTTGCTCACAAGCTTATGGTATCCTTTCCTGCAGAAACCTGTTTCCACACACAGATCACTGTTTGCTAGATTAGGGAGGCTGCTGTCTTAGTCAGCAGCTACATTGCAAGACAAGCCAACTTAAAGCAGAGCACTGTTCACTCCACCCCGTCCAGCTGTCACCCCCACCTTTAGCTTGAGGGTCACACTAAATGATCCCTTAAGCAGAGATGGGGGCCTGAAATGATTGAGGAGCTGGAGCAACTCTCCTGTAAGGAGCACCTCCAACTGGGGCTGCTAGCTTAGAAAAAAGGCGTGTGAGCAGAGGCATGGTAGAGGTGATTAAAATTATGCTTGGTGTGGAGAGGGAGATATTTTCCTCCCTCTTAGATAATGCTAGAACATGGGGGCATCCCATGAAACTTCTTGATGGACCGATAAAAGGAAGTACTTTGCACAGCATATAGTTAAACTCCAGAATTCACTGCCACAGGAAGAGGTGATGGCCAGCGTGTTGACAGCTTTAAAAAGGGATTGGACAGATTCATGAGGGAAGAGGCTATCAGTGGCTACTAGCCTTGCTGGCTTGTGCTACCTCTGTTACCACAGGCAGCATGCCTGCATACCCCAGTTGCTGAGGAGCTGGGCAGGAGGAGGTCTTGCACCCATCCTGCTTGAGGGATCCGGTGGGCAGCTGCTTTGCCACTGTGTGTACAGAGTGTTGGACAAGATGGATCTTGGGTCTGATCCAGCATGGCTCGTCTTATGTTCGTAAGACCACAGGGTGGAGCTATGCATGCTAATTTTATTTACTGTCCTACAAGTGTATGTAGTCCCAGTTCAGATTGAATCCATGCTACTTTGACAAAGAAGATTTTAAACACCCCTCACCTGCCATTTTGTCCTGAAATCACACATACCCTTGGGCGGTGGGGAAAGAACATTATTTTAAAAAATCAAGAGGGTGGCTTCACACACACACACACACACACACACACACACACAGGGTAAGAACTAAATCTTCCTCTGCCAAAATGCTGTGATCCTTCTCTGAATTGGGGCTTTACTTGCTTGTAGGAGAGTAATTGAAAGTAGCATGCATAGTTGAATGTATGCTTAAGGAAATGTGAAATGCCCTTAATCTCCCTGTTCAAGCAGTAGTTGCCCAGTATCTCCTCACACTTGTGACTGCTGTGCAGTTCTCCAAGCGGCCAGGCAGTGTCACTGCTGTTGGCACCCTGCCTGTCTGCCCTCTCCAACCAGTTTTGCCTGAAGTCTTGCCTGCAGCTTGACAGCAACAGTCTGTTCCACCGTTTGGTGTCCCCCTTGTTCCAGCAAAACAGGTGCCTTCCCAGATCGGATCGGCTTTGAAGAGTTAAACCCCTGGAATGTGTTTGTGTGCAGTTGTTAGGATCCTTCCCCTCCACTGAGGCTGTCTAAGCAGAAAGGGTTGAACAGTTAATGAAAAGGAGCGGTCTTTTGCAGTCAAAAGAATCCAGAGAATTATAGTTCCTTCTGCAGTGGTTTTGGAACATGATTGCTTTTTATATGTAGATAAAACATTCAGTTCAGTTCAGCCAAGCTACAAAACAGCCTCTTGCCTTTTTTGCATTGGAGTTCCCCACAAGCGAGAAACAGGTCCCCTATTCTAGGGTACTCAAGCTATGAGCTGACTGCCAGGATAGACAGAAGTGCAGTATACAGTCACATAACCCATCCCTTCTGGACTTGATAGCCAGGTTCATGAAAGCAAGGTTCTCCTTGAGTGCAGGAGGAAGTGTGAGTGATCCAAATGAGGTGTTATGTTGAGCCCTTTCATATCATAGAGAGTAAATGTTTAATAGGGCACCCAGCTGTGCCTCCTAGCAATGCAACCCCAGGTGGACCATCCCCTGGTGGCCTAGAGCAGCCATCTCAATCTGGTGCGCCCCCCCCCCCCCAAGTGTTAGACTGCAGCTCCCATTGTTGCCAGCCAGCTTCTGGTGCACCTGTAAGTTGTTGGTAATTTTGGAACCTCTCCTTTGAGTAACCCTGTTGGACAACTGCATGTCTTTTTTGGCTTCTGTTACTCTGGCAAACCCTACGTGCGTTGAGGATGATATGCAAGTGGGCCGGGCTTGTCTAAAGGCACATGAAACAGCACTCTTGTGAAAGGGAAGCAGCCCTGAGCTGACTGGGGTTCCATCATGGTTGCTTTCTCCAATCTGGCACCCTCTAGATATGTTGCAGTCCAACAAATCTAGAAACCAACAGGTTGGGGAGAACTGCCGTGAGGGAAGTAGAGGGTATATTATGTGCCCAGATGCACTGGGACCCCTGTGCAGCTGCCTTATCTGTATACTCTTTCTATGCACACACATGGCAACAAGAGGTGGATCACAAGTGTAAGTTGCTTACCAATCCAATACTGGCTTTTGTTGAGCCAGTATTTTTTAAGGTTGGCAAGAAACCAAATTGGCGTATTAAATTAGGCCATCTGGCCTGCTTCTGTCAATGAGAGAACATTGGGTCCTCTGAATTGTCAGCCTGATCCAGCTGAGTAGTTTTGCATTACCCTGCTCAATGCTTCTATATTATTCCCCACCTCCAGTCTTTGAATTTCTCAAACCAAGTAGAAGGTTGTGTGGCACCGACCATCAACATTGCTAATGTTTTCCCTTGACTTTCTCTGCTTGCTCTGCACAGGGGTTCAGCTATAAACAGCACAAGATTAGGAGCCAAGCAACTCTGGGCACTGGCTGATCCAAGCAGGCACAGAGGGGGTTGTTCTGTTTTCAAAAACGTTTTTCCACCCCACTGCAGGTATCTTGTTTACTGGAGAGCTTTGGGAGTTCTTGAGTTTCACTGAACGTTATCCCAGCATCATCTATAACATCCTTCTCTTTGGCCTAACAAGTGCTCTGGGCCAGGTGAGTGAGTAGTATTTCCTGTTCTGTGCCATGTATTTCTTTGGTGGCTTATTCCAAGTGCACTTTAACACATCAAAAGACAGAATATGCAACCACTTCTTCAAGTCCTGAGATGGCTTCTCCATGAGAGCATTTCCAGGGTAGAAAGCATCCTCCCTCCTTCCCAAGAACAAAGTCTGGGTGATCCTCATAAGACAGGGTGGGGAATCTTTTCATCCCAAGGGCCAAGCAGGCTGCAGGCAAACTTGCAAGGAGTCAGTGGGGCCACATGCAGTACTAGCTTGCCCCCACAACAATTCACATTTGCATGCATCCAAGTGAGCTTTGCTTGCCCCTCACATTCATCAGTCGGGGATGGCAAGCAGTGGATAAGGCCCTCTCCCCCAGTGCCTTGAGGAGGATTTCAGGAACACAGGATTTCCTGAATAAGACTCTCTTTTGTGGGGGATGAACTCCCATACATATTGGCTCGGTACACCCATCACTGGGTGTGATGGAGACCTGGCTTGAGAAAATACAATCTGAATAAGCACCATGCTAGGGCAGTGAGAGCCAGTGTGGTATAGTGGGACTCAGCAGATCAGCGGTCTAGTCTCAGCTCAGCCACACAGCTCAGTGGGTGACTTGGAGCCAGTCATTGAGTGGGTTCACATGAGCACTGGGGGAAAGAAGCCAAGGTAGCAGCTTTTCCCCAGTCGGTGTGAATGCAGCCACTGAACCCTTGGCCTGGCATACCTTATGGAATTATTAGGAGGATAAATGGAAGAGGAGGAAGACCATGTGAGCTGCCTTGGCTTCCTTGAAAGAGATGAAAAAAGACAGAAAGAAATGTGATAATAAAGATAAATAATAAAAAAACAAACTTGATCACACATACTTTATTCCTTCCTTTTCATGAGCAGGCAAACAAGCCAAGAAGAGAGAACTTTCCACATTATGCATTCCTGGGGGTTATTGTTAAGTAATCCAGCAAACCAGGATTGTAAACCCTCCTCAGATCAGGGTTTGTTCTTAGATTAGAGTCCTGGCCTGTCAAAATGCACTGAGTTCAAAAGCTATGCAAAGCTGTCCCATTTTCTGCTTGTTTACCCACTTGTGTGGAGGGAGGAGGGAATGGCTGCATGCATCAGCCTGCGACTTGTTAACAGTGCAGTCTATCAAGTCAGGATTTCTGACATAAAATGATATGCCACTGTGGCTGTATGTGTATGAACAGCAGAAGACCAAGACAAACTCTGTGCCCCATTTCTGGAGCTATAAAGACAGAGCTGCTTGGAATTATGGCTGTCCATGGTCCAGGGAAGTACAGGGTATCTTGCTGTTGTCATGGCAAGGGGACTGGTTCGCATCAATAGATCTTTGTATTTTCACCTAAGTATTCACCCGGGCTACTCCCATTTCTTATGGGAGTAGAAACCCCTGCGAGTTCAAAGTCCTACCATTTGGTTTATCAACCATTATTTGCCCATAGCAGGGCAAAAGAAAAGTAGGAGTCTGGGAGCTGTTAGACAGCCATCATTCCAGCATTCATTGGCTAGAGCAGACGGCCCTTAAGCCTGAGCTTTCAGAGTGTCATGCAAAGCACGGGTGCAGGCTATCCAGGTGACCCAAGGAGGGTCTACTTAGGTGGGGTGGGGGGGGCGGCTTTTCCATCTGGCAGCTGACTAAGCTGAACCTTTAGGGGCTTGAGGGGGCAGGGCTACCTGCATCTTGGGAAGAGAGCTCCCCTGCCATCTCCCCTGAGGTCCCTGGACATCCCTGGTGTGCTCAAAGTCCCTTGACCCAGGCTGCTTCTCCACAATGTTTGGCCCCTGGGGGAGGGCTGCCCATCATCTGAGGATGAGGAGGATTCCTCCAGAGGTGGCATGGCATCCTACTGAAGCACCTAATCGATTAAAGTACATTGAAACTGCCCTTCATTGGATTCTGGGGCATAAAGGAACACAAATCCAGGAAAGCAATATTCTTTATAACAGTTTCTGGTGATAAGGCCTTGTGTGAATTGGGGTGGGAACCCGGTTGCATGTTTCCCTGCACTAGCCTCACTGGTCTCCCTCAAAGTGCCTTGAAACTCCTGGGAATGGCTTGTTTTTAAAAAAGTCATTAAGGAGCTGTGGCTCAGACCCCTCCTAAATACCTGCCATGGAGATAATTTTGTCCCCTTCTCTCATAATACTAGAACCCAGCATCCGACCATGAAGCTGATTGGTGGGAGATTTGGGACAGATCAAAAGAATTACTTCCTCACACAGGGTATATTTAAACCATGAATTTCTCTTCCACAACTATAGCAATGGTTACCAATCTGGATGGCTTTAAAAGGGGGTTGACCAGTTTATGGAGAAGACCATCAGTGGTTACTCATCCTGATGTTTATATGCTACTTCCAGTATCAGAGGCAGTATGAGAGTGTATACCAGTTGCTGGGGAACATGGGCAGGAAAGTGCTAATGCATTTGGGTTCTGCTTGTGGTTTTCTCACAGAGAGCTGGTTGGCCACTGTGAGCAAGAGTGCTGGGCTAGTCAGTGCCTTGGTCTGACCCGGCAGGGCTCTGCTAATGTTCTTATGTCTTTAATGCATTTTCTCTCAATCCTCTATATCAGGGTTGGGGAATCTGTAGCCCCCCAGGAGTTCATGGGCTCTCATCACCCCTTGACCATTGGCTAAGCAGGCTGGGGCTGATGGGAGTCCAGCAGCATCTGGAGGGCCAAGTGTTCCCCAACCCCTCTAAACAGGTAGGTTGGTTGTGGTGCTTAACAGTGAGGAAAAAGCATTTTGCTTGTGCTCAGAGGGATTATCTTCATGATAGGCTTCATGTTGCACAGCTGAGCTCTTTATCCCCCTTGAAATCCTCCTCAAAATGAATTACTTATGGAGCTGCCTTTTCCTCTTTGGCATCCCCTTGGCTCACATAAACATGGAGGGCACTGGCTTTTTTAAAGGAAACTCTCTTTGGTTCTTTTGATCCGGGGGAACAGAAGTGGCTCCCTTCTGCTCCAGAATTGTCCTGGTTACCTCTTTCCATGGGGCAGAGAAAGGGCACGATATTCCATTGTCATGGCCCCCCACATATAAACTGGGCAGCAGAAGCTGCCTGCCCCCTATAAACTGCCACAGTAGGACAGGGAACACCCTCCAGGAGACTGAAGAGGCAAAAGTATTTTGATCCTTACTGTGTGTCTTTTTTGCCTTGATTCAGAGTTTCATCTTCATGACTGTGGTGTATTTTGGGCCCCTGACCTGCTCCATTGTCACCACAACCCGCAAGTTCTTCACCATCTTGGCTTCAGTCATCTTGTTTGCCAACCCTATCACCAACTTGCAGTGGTTGGGCACCATCTTAGTATTTCTTGGTAAGTTTTGGAAAGTTGGAGATTGCTGTCTGTATTTTGTCCATTGCGGGATGTTGGTCCCCCACTTCCTAGCAAAACTCACCCAGCAGCTTGGCAAAGCATAAGGCCCATGTAGTGCTTTCTGTTGTAGAGCAGACTGGTTCATCCTTCCATCTGAGCATCGGTGGGGGAGGCCATTGCTGCCCCTCACCTCCCTGTGCAGTGTGAAAGAGGGATTTTCTTTTGTTTTGAAATGTACTTACCTACTTTTGGGGTATTGTCAACATAACAGGAAATGCAGTCAAAATCCCACATTAAACCATTTAAATCACAGCCATAAGATCCAAGAACCCTCTAAATTATACACGGCCAACCCATTTGCCCCAGAGAATGAGATGGCAGGCCATGGATGGAGCTGGCAATAGAGGCAGCTGTGCCCAGTGTTTACACTGTCCCTCTTCACACACAAACTTCCTCTCAATCCCTGAAGGCTTCTGTAAGGCCCAGGTTTTCCACAGGTGCTGTAAAGAAAAGCTAAGCCTAGATACAAACACTCTAGAAAGCTTAAGCAAACCTTAAAGATTTTTGCTTCATGGTAAAAAGGCATCAAAATTGGTGCTAGGAAAATCTTCCTGCAAAGGCTACTAAGTGTGTTCATTTGAATGTAATTAAAAATTCTCTTCCACTTGCTGTGTTGAATATGCAACAATCAGAAGTGGATGTTGGGAAGCGGGGCTTGCCTGCATATCCCCGTTGCTGTTCTGAACCCACAAGGGCTAAAGCCAGGGAGAACACCTGACTAGGGTTCTCCTGGTATTCACAACTTTGATAACACTTCAAGTCGTGAAAGAAGTTTTGCAAAGAGTGTCACATCTCTGAGCATTTTCTTTCACCTGTCCCACCCATGCAATCTGCTGCAGGAAGCCCTGCTTCCAGTTAGACTCAGTGGGCCAGACGCAGTATGTGCCAAAGCAAAGGTCTTCTGAAACCTGTGCCTGACACACTCTGTGATTGGGCATTGTGGCTTGCTGCTGCACAGAGTTGTCACTGCCTCCCTACAGTCTTCCACACCTCTGTGGTTTGCCTTCTAGATTTGGGGTGAGTGTGGGTGCTTGGCAGTTAGTTGCAGTGGAGGCTGGCTGGCTGACAGTCTGGCAAGAGATCGGGGAACCTCAGTTTGGGTTTGTGTGAATGGATGGCTGTACATGTAGGTGTGAAAGAAGAGCTGTTAACTTGGTCTGCATGTCACAACAAGCAGTTACGTGTGTGTTTTTTTTAACCACTGTGGACTTATGTTGCTTGGGCCCAGTCATGTTATATTACTGTAGCTTGCTTTGGGCTTGGAAACCTCCACAACAAGCAATCGTCTGTTGTATGGTTTTCATGATTGTTTGTGATAATATTTGGACCAAGGAGCTCTATTTTTCCATCTGTGGTGAAAAACATAAGAGTTCTGTGGAAAGAGTGGCAAAGAAGGGGCCACTCTAGGCATCTACTCCTTATTACCCATGGCATCCTAGCAACAAATGCATTATCACTTGCTTTGTTCCTATTGGCTAAGCACTGTGCCTGCTACCCTTTTTACTTTCTGAAACAGGGAGAAGTGGGTAAATGCATGAAAGGAGAAAGGGAGATTGCATCAAAAGTATTTGTTTTTTAATGCAACAAAAAATCCTCTTTGGGACCTTCATGGGGTTGGAAGTGCTAGAGATGGAGATACAATCAGGAAAGAGAAGAAATAGAACCTGCCCCAGCAGACTAATCAGGAAGAGGCAGCTGAAGTCAATAGGGGATCAATGTGGAGATTTTGCTTGTGGGAGCTGCTGGGATGTGAGGTGAAAGCAGGAGGATGCGGGGACAGAAAATGATGGAACCAGCCAGGGTCGTAATCATTTGTCAGGGAAAATATGGTAAGTTACCACCAGGCATGGCAACTCCCCACCCTTGCTTGTGACATGCAAACGCACCCTGTGAGAGTGAGTGAAAAACAATGAGTGGAAGGAAGGAAGTGGGGGTGAAAAAGGATGGTCCCTCCTTCAATTTACTTTGACTTCACCCACTTACACAGACATTGGACCGGTTGCCCTACTCAGACCTGAACAGTCCCCTGCCACAGCACTGGGGTTGGCCTTCTCGGCCTGAGACTACAGGGCTTAGGTATCACCATCTCCCTAATTAACCTTCCGAAGAACTTCACTCTGCTGGCCCTGCTTTGCTCCCTCTGCTGGCAGAGATAAGGAAGTAGGAATAAGAGTGGAGTCGAGTCTCTTGGCTTTGTGGCTTCCGGAATGTGCAACAGCTTTCCAAGGAAATGCATTAGGCTTGCTATTATTATTATTTCTATACTGCCACTTAGCCATAAGGGCTCTCAGGGCGATTTATCAATTTCATCAATTATCAATTACATCAAATGCAATATACTAACTACAATAAAATAAAATGTAAAACAAGGTAGAAGAGTTCAAAACAAGACAAAACCAGAGCAGCTACATGAGGCCATAAAAAACAACTTACAGAATTGATAAAGTTTCTAAAGCAATAGCAGCAATGCAAAGAATTAAAATTAGACAATTCATTATCATCATGTAGCCTACAACTACAAACCACCCACTCACCCACCCAACTGGCCAATGGCCAGAGTCTTAGGCCCAACCAGACATCAGATGGGCACCAACGGGTGGTACCCTTTGGCTGCTGCCCCAGGCGGAAGGTCTCCAGTAAATAGGCCAGCGTGATGAGAGGGGCGGCCTAGGAGTAGTCACTCACAAGTGTCCACAGCTGGTTGGTAAGCTTTGAAAACTTCCTGGGGGCATATTTTAAAGAGAAGACTATGTAATTGTGTCTTATCCCGCAACAGTCTTGCTGTTTTTTATTGATTCACTGGGCTAGGGCTTATTATTGTATTTATTATCCTGAGCCACCTTGAACCAGCTCTTCTATACATTAATATAGAAAGGCTGGATATAAATAGAATGAATGAATAAAAAGCAGGACCATCTGTCAGCTCAGCTTCCCAGACCATGGTGGTGAGAGAGGAGAGTGCAAAAACACAGCCTCTGTTGATGCTCGCCTCATAAACCATCTGGGAGTCTATCATTCCAGAGAACAGCAAGGTTTGGGTGTGAATGTGTGTCCTTCTTACTATGGATGGCAGATGACCCCATCTACAAAGCATTATTGGCATCCTTGGAGAAAACCCACAATGTTCAGAATTACATTTTTAAAAAGGGTGGGTGGGAACCAGCTTCCATGCCAGAACTAAAACAACTGTGCATATGTGCACTTGTGGAGAGAAGGAAGAGAGAGGGGAAGGAGAAGGAGGCAACTTAGCCGGAGCATGAGTCTGCACGGAGCGTGAGCCACATTTAATGGCCCCTTCTCAGGTGGGAAGGTCTGACCTGCTTGCAGCAGCAGCTGCACTCGAAATGGAAAGCTTTGCAAAGATGGATGGGATTGGCTGTTGGCCGGAATCTGCTGTTGGCTAGTGTCTCAAAACCAGTGTTGCCCTTTCATTTCTCTGCAGGACTCGGACTGGATGCCAAATTTGGGAAAGCATCCAAGAAAACTTCGCATTAAGAAGACTGGATGGTTCTCGTGAAAACCTCAAGCCTAACAAACTGTTAACTTATTGTCTTACTCCCTGGCACCAGTTACCAGTACGGACTCAGGAGGAGTGCTTGGGGAACAGGGATGGGGTTTTATGGGGGGTATTTTGTTTTTATTCGGAAGTCCGGTGTTTTGTTTTTATAATGAATGCTTTTGTTTTAATTAAAATCAAGATGATGAACTTTCTCTGCAGCTGCTGCCCCACTTCCCTCCCCTCATCTTACCCCACCCCATGGCAAGGAATCAAAGCTGGAATTTTTGGATGGCAAAAAGGTGATATTCTCAACAGAATGAGAGGAACACTTCATAAAAATAAAGGGACGAGAGAGAAGGAAACCCGTGTCATCATCATCATCATTATTATTATTATTATTATTATTATTATTATTATTATTATTATTCACTTTATGTCCCTTTGCCCTTTCGTGCTCTCTTTGGGGCTTTCTAAAAGTTTTGGCATACAGCTCCCATCAGCCCTAGCCAACATAGTTAATGGTTAAAGGGAAGCTGGGAATTGTAGGCCAAAGCTTTTGGCGGGCCAAAATTGGCCAACCCTTACTTGAGAAGATTGGCAATCCCCTTCTGGAGGTAGGGCTATTAGAAGTAAGAAGCCCATGACCTTCTTTGAGCAAGAAGTATTCTGTGCTTGCATTATAATGCAACTGTTGGTGAAACTTTGGATTGAAATTATTTTATTGAGCAGCTCTTTATTGAGAAGCCAGTGTACAGAGCCATCCCATATAACTTTACTTGGAAAGAAGTCTCCCTATGCTTACTGGAAGTTATTCCCCAGATAAGTGTGCACAGGGTTGCAGTCATGGTTGGACAGATCCAAGAGTCAGGTTTGAATCTGGGATGCTGTGGCCACCAGCCAGCTGCTGTTCACTAATGTGCCTCTGAGCAATTTTCTGCTTTCTAGCTTCAGTTCCCAATGTGTACAAGTGGGAGCAATAAGGACCTACCAGTTTGTGACTAAGACATCTGAATTCTGTATTCCTGGGCTAGGCAAAAAGAAAATCTGGATCTACTAGTAAATTTCTAGGGGATTTGCAAATGAGCAGCAAAGATTTCAAATTCGTTTTTTTAACAATAACCTGCCCACTTAAATGAATGTTTGCGTAGTAGGAGTAGATTTATGAATGGAAGGACTAAACCCTTAACTGTAGTATTTAAAGCAAATTCCTGAGCTCATAATTCTTTAAGCCCCAGTCTGTGTCTTTTATGCCAAGTCTCAGTAGGTGGTTCTTGGAGTTCTATTAAAAAACAAAGTTGATCAAGTCTGTGTACACCTGCTAAATTCAAAATAATGTACACAAATGTTTGCTTTGGTGAGGCAGTAGCTTTATTTTGAGCTTTATGTACGCCTTCATATCAAGGGAGTGGGCCTGGGTTTGGGCTGTACCACTTCAGGTGGCACTCACATGTCCATTCCTCTCCCCTCCCCTCCCCTCCCCTCCCTCAATCTTTTTAATCCCTCGATGTTTTTAATTTAATTTAGATAGGAAAATAGCAAGCCTGGAAGCAGAATACTCACTAGAACCCTTCTAGTTCTCTGTGTGATTTAAGGTTCCTCCAGACAAAGAATGTAAGTCCCTATCCTGCACTCAGTTTCTGCAGCCCAAGGTTTATATACTCTGAGAATCAAGTCGCAACTTGGCTAGGAGGAGAGGGCTCAGCAAGCGACGGGGTAATTGATGGTGAAGACTGGGGTGTGACTAGAAGCTGTGCAGGGACCTTGACAGGGCAGAGGTGCAGAACCATAATTGGAGGGTGGGGGCAGAGTGCCTCCATCAGTCGTCCCCCCCCGGAGGCCTGATGACATCAAGGATGTGGCAGCCTCCACTGGCATACTTGCTGGCCCATTTTCTCATTTCTCAGAACAGAGAGAGGGTCGCAGCTGGCCTCCCAGTGCCAGCTAAGTCCCTGGCTTTGCACAGTGTCCTCTTGCCAAACACCGTGAGTTGCACAAAGCCACTCAGAAACACTGGAAAGAGCAGCTGCTGCTCAGGTCTCCTGCTGAAGCAAAGACTTGTCTCCTGGAGGAGGTCATGGGGGGCGGCATGAGCGAGATATAGAACCTCCACAGGCTGGAACGTACATCTCTGTGATGGAATACAGGTGGTCAACCAGTGCTCTGTTTTGTGCTGTCGTGCACGATTTCATTCAGGATTACCATGTGAACTTCTAAATGAAAAACCTCAGAATTCTACACTGATATGGCACTGTGCAGCCACTTTTGGGAAGGTGAAGGAAGCTGTGTGGATTTGGAGTTTAAGTCTAATCACAGGATGGGTCATGTTTCCAGTCCCCATGAGGAAAGAGAGAGACTAGAAAGGGTTTCTAGTCATAGACTCTCCAATAATGAAGCAAGAAGAGTTCCAAATCCCTTAACATCACAGGAATCAATATGAGTGCTAGTTGGGCCAAACTGTCTTATCTTTTCCTTTGTGGTTTTTCCCTTTCTGGCTACAGGATCATACAGAGAATTGGCTGTGATGGCTGGCAGCAATTTCTAGCATCACAGTGTACATTTGGTACTTGGGCTTTTTGGCATAAAACTAATAAAATAAAGCCACTTCTAAGAAAAGATGTCCTGGGTAGAAGGTCGATGATCTAGGGTCCCGTTTCTGCACATAATGGAAAATCTCTTCACAGCATAAGCTGTGATTGTGCAAAACCCAAAGAGTCTGGGAAGATCATATCACAGTAAATGTAGTTTCTTTCATTTATGCTTCTGTGCTGCCCACCTAGGTGATGCTTAGTGGTTAAAAGCCTAAAAATACAATAAAAGAATATAATAGGAAATTATATGCATACCAAAATACAACACCATTTCACACAATCAGTTAAAATCCTAGGAGCCAAGAAAAAGCTTATCCACTGACAAATGGCTGGGAGTAGAGGAAGCTCTCACCTTAGTGTCAGAAAGGTAACGTGGATACCAAGCAGGCTTCCCCCTGAAGAGCTTGCAATATGATTGTTACTGATTCTTTCCTTCTGCTTTGTCGTCGTGCTTCTCCATGGCAGTTTATGTGCCTTCCAACCTGTTAGGACAAAGGGACAGAGATGCTCGCGTTCCATTTCGCTTCAGCGTGCTGCGAAAGAAACCCGGCCCTCATCTGCACTGGCCCCGGCTAGCCAAGATGCGCATTACATGCTTGTTCAAAAAGAGCCCCCGTTTTAATTAGCTCGCAGCCTCGGAGAGCTGCACCAGGCCTGCCCCTTCAGGCTGTTTCCCTAGTGCTGGAACAAGGAGGGGCTGTCAACATAAGGAGGCCTTGGAAGCCAGCGTGCCAAAGTCTCCGCGGAGCAAACTTTACACATGAAAGCATGTCTCCACCAGCTGTCGCTACCAGCCTCCATCTGCTCTGTGCCTTTGGCCTCTCGCCCTTCCAGATGGGACCTTGATCTCTTTTCTTCAGTGGCTGTTGCAAACCCTATGCTTCTCCCTCCGCTCTCCATCTTTTCCAATTCCTCTCCAGTCTTTTACTGACTTTTATGTTAATCTTTTCTGATGTCCCTGGTCTCTGCCCCAGGAATACTTTTTTCTCTCTCCAAAGTTAGACTTTTCTTTTTAGGAGGAGGACAATATTGGAAAGTTGAAGTGGGAGATGTTGCTATGTTCTCAACAGCCTGTTCTCATTTTCTAAAAGTCAGCCAACAGGAATTTTCTCCACACTAAAGGGACATTTCACTTTCTTCCCCCTCTAACCGACTCTGCAAAATGTTGGACTGGTTTCCTTTTAGAACTGTCATGAAAGCAAAGAATTCAAAGCCATGTTGTTTAAAATGAGGGAGGGAGTAGAGAGGGAATATTTATGCAGCCTACTTCAACCAGTGTTGTACCCATACCAGATTGCCCCGTGCTTAATTAAAAGAGAAGAGGGCTTTACAGAAGGTATTTTGTACAAGCTAAGTCAGTTTTACTGCAGCATGCAGATCATGATCTTTTATATAGGTGGTACATTTTGCTTCTGAAAGACAGCAATCGCTACCTCAAGTTCATTGTGTCCAGGAACCTGTCCATGCGGCAGTACCTGGAGGGTCGCAGGCCATCCTCCCGTTTGTTCTGTCCGTTCTATCTACCTGTTCCCCTCTGCTGGAGCACAGAGTTGTGCTTGCCACACAATGTTTTGGTTCACATGTAATGACAACCTGGAGTATGGGTTGAGTATATGCTGTCATCGAAATAGGCATTCTTGTGAGATTTGAGCCCCAAACTATGGTTTAACTATGCATTGTCTATTACAAACAAACCCAGGCAGAAAAGTCAGGAGTCGTTACTGGGTTGCGAATTCTGGGTTGTTTGTGGTTAACAGCACACAGTGAAAACCATAAGACAAGGTTTGCACATAATGACAGCCCATGCTTCCATCCATAAATCCTGCCCTGACCCTAACCCTAACCTGAACTCTGGATGGAGTTATGTGTAAACCAGGTCAGCATGTCCTAAGTCACCTAAATTATCTTGCCATCTCAAGGATGGTGGAGGAGGTCATTACCAGACTGTCAGTCTTAAAATAAGATTTAGCTGCCTCTCCTGGTTGTCATCTTCTCTCTAGCAGCAAAGTATCTTGAACTAGCCCTGTCATACCTTGAAGCTCTAATTGCAATAATGTTAAAGAACTTTACATTTAGCAAATCAAATGCAGTTTTTTTCACCCCACAAAGACTATTTGCAGTTACACCTCAAAGTTAATATTCTAGCGAGATTTTTCTAACCTGATATGTTCCCCATATTTTTATTGTTAGAATTTCCTGGCTGGTTGGCTGGTCCAAAATTAAACAAGAATTCAGACATTGTCTTGGTTCCAGCATGAGAAGTCCTGCTCAGATTTGGCAGAACTTTGAAAAGAAATCTGAAGTTGAATTCAGATTTTGCTCTTTTGAAAAGATAGTAGTGAAATATGTTTTATGACTACTTTTATGGCAATAACATCCCAGGATGCCAAATTCACTGTTCTTTAAATTAGGAGATTTAAACTTATTATTAACCAGGAATTATTGAAAAGTAAATATTGTGAGTGGTTCTTTAAATGTGAAGAGTTTTCTTTTTGTTCTGCTTGTGCAAGCAACCATCCTGAACTTTTTTTCCTGTACAAGAGGAATACAATACATATTACCATGCATATTATAGACATCAATCAATGACATTGCTTTTTGAATCACTTAAATAAGGTATGTGCATTTTCACACACACACGTGTATATACATTATGTTTCTTATGTACAATCCAAAGTTACTAATAAATAATGTTCTTTCTATAGCCATAGATTGTATAAATGATGTATGGACCCAATCCCATGAATATTTAGTGAGAAAAAAAGTCCTAAAAC